ATCAATGGGTCCTTTCTGAACAAATTACCAGATAACCTACAGAGAAAAGCTGCTCCTGAACACCTTGGCTTACCAGAGGCAATCCGGATTTAGTACAGGTCTGCATTGACAGATTGCAGGAATTTACCAAAGCTTGCTATGCACGATACACACATGCTTCTATCAGGCCGTCTATTGTCCTGGAGGGGAAGAATCCCGCCCACGTGACCAACACTAGGAGGGTGAGGGGCAGCATGTCTCAATAAATTATTCTAATTCATGAAGGGATTGAAAAGAGCTGAGAATACAGCCACACGCCATATTCTTAAAAACCACAGACAATACCGTACACATGGAATATGTTAATCCCTTGTCTCTAAAATGCTAATGTCACCGTTTTTTACAAATTACAATTATTGATTTGGGCTTTAAGAAGCAGGGCTCTGATCTTTATCTGTTTGCCTTTCAGCAGCTGTCAGTCACTCAGTGTGTGTGTGTGTGTGTCTGTTAGTGTGTGAGTGAGGGGTTGTGTGTGTCTGTGTGTGTGATAATCTTTAGACATGCTCGATGGGCCGCAGAGGAGCCTAATTTGGTGGGGAAGCTATTTGAAGGAGTTCGGAACAAAGGACATTCATGCAGCGAATTAGCTTTATATACCGAGCTCCAGCGGGTAATAACAACATGTGGTTCAACAACAACACGGTAAATAAAAGCAATGGTTATTATGTAACATGTAGTATGGAGACATACTGTTTGGGGTGCATGGAATAATGAGTCGAATCAGAGTCTTTCAATAAGGGCTTTGCGTGTTTCTCGGTTTAAATTTGTTATGTCCTTTCACTGCCTTTTTAGTTTTAGATGGGGGCCTGGATTATTTATAGTGATAAAGAAACTGTGGTGCGCAGCATTGTGTTGGGAGGGACCTGCAGTGGGGGGGCTGCTGAAGTGTCTGGTTAGATCAACTGACAGGAAACGTGTGGGAGGGACCAGACAGAGATGCTAAGCAGAGAGACGGAGGACGAGGACAGGCTGTGCAGGAGGTGAGAACAAATTAAATGACTGATTACAAAATTACATTATGGTCAAAAACACGCTCCACACGTGGTAGATGGCTTTAGGCACCGTTCCACCTGCATTTGAAACGTCAATCCCTGTTGGTTCTTTTGCTCTTCAGACAATTCTGATCTCTTACAACAACAATTAACTTACTGCAAATAGGCCGATATTTCCTTGCTTATTGTTTTTATTGAACAAACCTTAAAACGGTGCAGATCTACTCATCCACATCCCAAGAATGAAAGTTCCACAAGTTATTCTTTTTCCCCCCATAATAGTTTTAGTTTACAAAACTCGGATAGCGCAGTAGACTAAACGACTTTTGCAACAACTTAAAACTTCCTCAGACTTTGAGCAGACAGGGATTAAATGCCTTGCTCGGGGGCACATTGACAATGTCAAGACTGCATTTCACGTGACGTGCCCAAACTTAAACAAGGTTGCTCCTGCACGTCCACCGTCACTCGTCCATGAGACCAACAGAGCAGACAACTGCGTGCAAGATCCAGCCCTCCAGTATAGGTCAGTGTTGAATAATGCAAGCTCCGCACATTTCAGCCCCCAAATGGAGAACGCTATAGTGCCACAGCTCTGCCTTTCCTCCCATTATTCCGCTTGAATGGGCAAAAGGTTGCAAAAGATGCATCAATGCACGCACGTACACAAGTGCACCATCGCACACAAGTATTGGCCGAAAGGAAGAAGGAAGAAGGAGGAATGACGGGATAGAATCTAACCAGAAAGCTTTGCCTGAGTCACAGTAACGTTGAGATGGATTTCAGGGAATATGTAGGCAACCTGCATCCTATTAAACAACGAAGTTCAGGTCGGATAAAGAACTTCATGGGAGCGATGCAAATAAGGGTTGAATCTATAAAGTGTGTGTCTGCGCACGTCTGACAGATTTCACAACAGGTTCATTACAAGAGCGGCAGCTCTGTTTTATTTCACCCTCGAGTGATTAAACTGGATGACGATGCGATTCCTCCTCGTTGCCCCTGGCTACCAGAAAATAAATCCTCAGCCCCCTTTCGCCCCATCCGCTCCCTTCTCACATCGTTGCAAGAAATCTGCTTCACTGTGACTTTGTTTCATTCGCACTCTTTCCTTTGCACCTGCGTCTCCCCCCGTCGCTGTCACAGGCTCATTCCAGCGACTCTCCGCCAACCGCACACACCCTGCGTGTGAGGCACCATCTTTTCTCTCTCGCCTACAGCCCCCCTCCGCCCACCACGAGCGCTGCCACACCCCTCTGTTCCCTGACCCGGTCCCCATCCCACCGGCCGTGCTGCCTTACCCTTCCACCCTCCCTTCTCTCCCTTCATCTCCAGCCCCCCGTGGGCCCCACACTCTCCCCCACTCCCCTTTTTGCTTCTCTTAGGGCATTTTCCACCTCTTCTGAGAGTCGCACCTCATGAATTATTCACCTGTGAATTTCAAGGAGGGATTTTGCTGCGTTTCCTGACCGTTTACTGCTCATAGGTAGACATGCAGGTTTTTTTTTTGGAAGGTAATAACTCATTTCAATCGTTATATGTGGAGGTAAGCATGGCAGAGCGTCTGCTTCACACTACTGAGTGTCCCTGCAGGAGAACAAGTGTACCAACGTGAGGACGGACAAACACAGGCCATGGGAAACATCATGGTGTCCTATAATAGGTGGTTATTTTATCGTTATCATTAGATGCAGCTCAACTGCACCGCGTCTGGCAGCAGGGGAAAGGATGTACGTGCGCGTGTTAAAACGAGACCGCTGAAAGTGACTAGAACTGCAACGCCCCGATGGGAGCTCCCAGGCCTACACGGCTCACACACAAAAATTCACACGCACACTTTAAAGTGACTCTAATTTTAATAATAGCTTTTGTCATTTATCCTTTTTGTTTTACAGCATATGCCTTGAACGCTGGTAGAAGTGATATTAAACTATATGAGTGCAATGTCTGAAATGCGCATTTCTTTCACACTTGGGGGGGATGCCATCAATACCAATTAGCACATCTGCTATAAACCTTCCCCCATATTTATCAGAGGATATTTTTACTGGCAAATAAACAGCTTTAGGGGACGTCAGTAACAGCGCATCTCCTGAAGCGCATGTGAACAGAAAAAAAAGCTTTTTAATTTGAATCCTTGGCGCACGTCAGTGGTTATCAGCACCACCAGTATTATGGGGATGTAAGATCTTAGAACATGAACGGTTCACATGAAAGTCTCATGTTTGGAGTGCATGACGGTTTCCTTTCCTTGTGCAGCAACATTAATTCCAGGGGTTTAAGTGCACATGAAAAGGTTTTCTTTGGTGGTGTTTGTGTGCTCCTGCAGAGCTGTCTCTGCAGGGTGATGCCACACCCTGCTGCCTCCTGACACCGAGCGGCAGAGCGGGGCAGAGGGAGAGGAAAGGGGGGGGAGGGAGAGAGAGGGAGAGAGAGAGGTGGGGCGTTGGTGGGAGAATTCTCCAGCTTCGGCACAAAGAGAGAGAAAAGTCATCGTTGAGGTGTGGAAGGACGGTTCGTCTCTCGCTACTGAACATTTCATTACTATTGAGGGGAGGATGTGAGCTGCTTTACATATATTGAATATAAGACCGCACACACCAAACTGGCCGTATAGCTTAAGACAAAAGGTTACAGAAGTGGGTTTTGTGACGATCATGGTTTGATAAAATCTAAAAAGCTTTGGTATTTGGTATTGCTTGACGTGTAACAACATCTAGACTAGTTAATACCATTGCAGGAAATCAAACGTGTACATCAACTTATGTATGAAAGTTGATTGGAATTGTCAGGGTCTGTACGTCAAAAGCTCGTAGTCTCCGACTTCCCTCCCCTATGCAATCCTCAAGTACTGACTGCAGCATGAAATCCCCCAGTTTACTTTCAAATCAATGTTAACGCTGGCCAGCTGCCACCAGCCCACAAGAGATCTCCTTATTACCTTGTTATTCCATCAAATGTTATTTGATAGGAGTAAATATATCAAACACAATATATTTCTTAAATATAATAACTTCAACACAAGAGTGAAATCAAGTACAATCCACACAGTTTATTTACGGTGGCACAGGTGCTAGACACTTGATAACACATATGAAGGGCTGCATGGAATTAATACATGTAATTAATATTTATGTGAAGGGAACACTAATAGATCCTAAATTAGTCAAACTTAGCCTGACACATGTCTTTCAGCACTGGTCCATATGGTAATACTTTGTATTTTATATCACATACATTAACACATTAAAGCAGTCATGAATCCTCCTCACGCTCCCTCATTGCAGCGCTACAATGAACCTGCACTGATGGCCGCGCCCTGAGCCTCTCATATTGATGTGTTTGTCTCCTGCACCCACCAAACATCCCCACCTCATCACCATCGCTCCTCCTCACAGAGCTACGCCCACGTAATGTCATACAGCTCCCTACTGCTCCTGCTGTGAACCTCCTGCTTCTACAACTGCATCTGACCTCCATGAAAAATAATGTGCATTTATTGTTTCTTTTCAACATCTGTTACACTCAACACACTGTGCAGGTTATGTGGGACTAAAGTGCCACCATCTGGTGCAAAATGGTATGTCATTAACTATAAATAAAAAAACCTATTCATTTTAAAGTACAAACTATTTTCACGTTTAATATGATAATCAGTGCTCAAATACATAGTTTAAAAGAGTTTCACTATAATGAAAATAACAACAGGTACAATATTTTATGCGAGCTAAATAAGGAAATATCTAATTTTATAACTGCTAGAAATAAAATGAACTCGTCGATTGATGATTGCTGGGTTATATTTTCAGAATTTGTTAAAATTAACACCAGCAGACCAGTTTCCACCGCGTTACGCACGCTGGTGCTGCGGAAGGCGGGACTTCTGCTCCGTACGCGATGACGTTTCCTCAAAAACAACCAATCAGGTGAACTGATTTCACGCGACTAACGTTTCCCGTTTTTAAACCTCGCACATGCGCATTTCATTTTTAAAATGGCGGCCGTGCAAGGTGGTCCGGTAGACGCGGTCGAAGAAAAAGACATAAAAACCGAACCATCGAACGATGGCTGCGGGAGTAACAGTACAAACGACGGGAGAGCGGCCTCCGCGTCCCCCGGCTCCGGGGCGCCGGCTGCGGGCGCCAAACCCGCGGCCGCAGCGCCGGAGGACCAGCAGACGCTGCTGGCGGTGCTGCAATTCCTCAAAAAGAACAAACTGACCGAGTCCGTGGACATTTTGCGTCGCGAAGCGGGATTGCCGGAGGATTCGCTCGATCTGAAGGGGGCGGACTCGTCCGCGGCGGGTTCGGGTGGTGCCGCTGGTGGTGCCGCCGCTGGTGGTGCTGTGGCAGGCGGTGACTTGGGCGCCGCGGATGCGAGCTCCCTTCTCAGCCGTGTGACCGCCTCATCCTCCGCTGTCGTTCAGGCGCCAACTAAAGGTGCGCCGAACAACCGGGCTACTCGAGTGTTACCGCGAGAAACGCTGTTTGGCATCAACCAGAGTTTGAAATAAGCGATTTACTATCACGTTTACGACTATTGTATTATCCTAATTCCAGTGACCAGACATGCACATTAACTCACTACGAGTACGTTTCATAAAGGAGGTGTGTAAGGAAGGATGCTCGGGTCACATTGCAATCTGTTGTCTGTTGACTTTGTAATGTGTTGTTGGGGATGCCACATTTGTTTTGGTCTTGTTTCTTTAGAAAAACAATTTCATTCAAATTAACCCACAATTTCCAATGAGTAACTTTTTGTTTTGATTGCGAAGATTCAAAACCACACGGCTGTTCCACACTGGCTCAGTGGTCACCTCACAAGTTTACGCTATTTGTTCACCTAAATGACTAGTTGGGGTATCAAATCTCACTGAGGCGTCTTCTCTTAACAGCTGCTGGCGAGGACCAGCCAGACGTCAACGTGGTGCTGTCCGCTTACAGCCAGCAGGGAGACCCAAAGCTGTACCCGGTTTACTACAACGGCCTGAAGAGGTTCATAGAGTCCGTGTTGGACTGTCACCGGGCAGAGCTGTCCCAGGTCTTCTACCCGCTGTTCGTGCACATGTACCTGGAACTGGTGTACAACAATTACGAAAGCGAGGCCAAGGCGTTCTTTGAAAAGTGAGTTTCCTCCACGCATCTTTCTGCATTTGGTCTTTGCGTTCAATCCTGCACAGTGGATGAAACGTGCTTCGTTTGTTTCTCCCCTCCACAGGTTCCGCGGCGATCAGGAGTGTTACTACGAGGACGACCTGCGGATTCTGTCCAGCCTTTCCAAGCGGGAGCACATGCGAGGCAACGAGACCCTGCTGGACTTCCGCACCAGCAAGTTTGTCCTGCGCATCTCCCGGGACTCTTACCAGCTGCTGAAGAGGCACCTGCAGGAGCGCCAGAACAACCAGATCTGGAACATCATACAAGAGCACCTGTACATCGACATCTTCGATGGCATGCCGCGCAGCAAGAGCCAGATCGACGCCATGTCCGGCAGCTTGGCCGGAGAGGCCAAACGAGAGGCCAACAAGGCCAAGGTGGGATTCACACATCTCTTTTTCTTTCCTTTGTCTCCTCAACAGCGTTTTCCCACAATTGCTGAATTCATGGCGCGTTCTTGTTTTATTCTCATTCAATCAGGTTTACTACGGACTGCTGAAGGAACCAGAAATTGAGCTGCCCCTTGATGATGAGGATGAAGAGGCGGAGAACGAGGAGGGTAAACCGAAGAAGAAGAAACCCAAAAAGGACAGCGTGGGCTCCAAGAGCAAGAAACAAGACCCCAATGCACCTCAACAGACTAGGTAGGAAGATATTTCACATTTGTAAACAGAAAGATGGACCCGGGCTCCGTTTGTTCTGTCTCCATCATCTAATGTTGCTGCCAGAGCGGTCGCATGCCACGTCGAGTACACGCATTCATTTTTAATTTGAAGGGAAGTGCTTATCCACACAGGACAAGACCGTTAATAGTGTTGCACCTGCCACAGCCTTCACATATTCTCAAGTTTAAAATAATTTCAGTTATTGATCTTATCACTTGTAAGCTCCTTTTTTGTTTTTTTTGAAACCCAAACCTGCTAGTGGATCCAGCACACAGTGACCGCCAACATTGTTTTTTTTTCCAGGATCCCTCTTCCAGAACTGAAGGACTCCGACAAGCTGGACAAGATCATGTACATGAAGGAGGCGACCAAGAGGATCCGCCTGGGACCAGAGAACCTTCCCTCCATCTGCTTCTACTCTTTCCTCAACGCTTACCAGGTACCATTAACTCCTCAGCGAGCAAGTGACGGACAGCAGAAAGTGTGAACGCAGGTCAAACTGGATCCGTGTCCAATTGTCGCGGCAGGGTCTGACGGCAGTGGACTTCACGGACGACTCCAGCCTGATCGCAGGAGGCTTCGCTGACTCCACGGTGCGCGTGTGGAGTGTCACGCCGAAAAAACTGCGCAAGGTCAAGTCTGCAGCAGGTACAGTGCAAGAGACCGTGACCATGGCAACGAGGCACGCTGTCATCCAGACTTTCTATAACACGAGTCTCTCTTCTCTCTCAAGACTTGAATCTGATTGACAAAGAGTCGGACGACGTGCTGGAGAGGATCATGGACGAGAAGACGGCCAGCGAGTTGAAGATCCTGTACGGACACAGTGGGCCGGTGTACGGCATCAGCTTCAGCCCAGACAGGTAGAATCATAATCACAATGTCGGTATTTGTGGAGCCCTTATTCAAACAGTTAGTTCTTCAAACAGTACGCAAAGAACACATAAAAACACAGCAGTAATAGAATATAACAGCTAAACAGACCAAATTAAACATTTTAATTGGCAGAACCTCAAAACCGCATGGGGGGGAGGAGGCGATGCAGTAAAGTTGTTTTTTTCATTTTTTAAAATTCAGATAAAGACCTCAAAATGCGAGCAGGTCATACGGAAATGAGAGATCGGATGTACACTGAAGGGTCAAACCTTTTAATTCATTATATTAAATGTTGTTTTTTAAGTAATTAAAAGCTGCTTAAAATGATTGCGGACACAGCCGGTGCGAAGGAGATGAAAAGGGATTAATGTCATCAGACTTGTGAGCTTAGTTGTTCTGTGCGGCCGGTCCAGTCTTTCTACTTTGGTGAAACCGTAGTTTGTGTGTAGTAAAATTAGAGCATTTACAATCGGTTCTGTAGCATTAACATCTAACTTTTTATAATTCTTGTCATTCCTGTTGACCTTCTGCCTTTGGCTCTCAGAAACTACTTGCTATCGAGTTCTGAAGATGGTACGGTCCGGCTGTGGAGCCTCCAAACGTTCACTTGTCTGGTGGGCTACAAAGGTCACAACTACCCAGTGTGGGACACCCACTTTTCCCCCCACGGGTACTATTTTGTCTCCGGGGGACATGACAGAGTTGCCCGGTAAGAAACTTTTTTTCTCTCTCATGCTTCAGTTCAGAGAAGAAAAAAAAACACCGTCCGTGTGCATGATTGTCCAACATGGCGCTCGCTCTCTCAGTCTGTGGGCAACAGATCACTACCAGCCACTGAGGATATTTTCCGGTCACCTCGCCGACGTGACTTGCACCCGCTTCCACCCCAACTCCAACTACGTGGCCACCGGTTCCTCTGACCGCACCATCCGACTGTGGGACGTCCTGAACGGAAGCTGCGTGCGCATCTTCACCGGCCACAAGGTCAGATGAGTCTCCAGAGCAGAGCCCCGTATCTGTGGTTTCATTTTCTGCTGTAGGGGCATGAACGCCTAATCCCTTGTCCGAAGTAATGAAGTTAAGCATTTAACAAAATTGTTTTTTTTCGATGTTATTACGGTTACGTTTAATTTGCTATCTGCACAGAGAGGAGTGATGCAGCTCAGTTTGACTCATTCATATCTAGAAGAAAAACAGGTTGATGCCAATAAAAAAATATCCATTTCCCCATTTAATGCTCTGCGTACAGCCGGGAGTCTTTGATTCTATCATTTCTAAGTATGCAAAAGAGTCACAGGTTTACACTGTTACACAAGAACTGCACGCTGCATTGAACACTACTCAGCCAGCCGTCGACTCTTCTCTTCCAGGGTCCTATACACGCGCTGGCCTTCTCCCCCAATGGAAAGTTCTTGGCTTCGGGAGCCACTGACAGCAGAGTGCTTCTGTGGGACATTGGTCACGGGCTGATGATTGGGGAGCTCAAAGGCCACACGGACTCCATCTACTCACTGCGGTTCAGCAGAGACGGGGAGATCCTCGCCTCCGGTGGGTGACATTTTAATTTGACATAAATTGAATATGTATTAATGGCCATTTTTTTTAAAGATACTCTTTAGAGAATGATTAACCTCAATGTGTTCACATGCAGATTTGAGTTTTTTTTCTTCAATTAAGCTTGCATTGACTGGGGTCTTGTTGTCCTAGGCTCAATGGACAACACGGTTCGCCTGTGGAACGCTACGAAAGCATTTGATGATTTGGAGACGGATGACTTCACGGCAGCTACGGGACACGTCCATCTACAAGACAACTCCCAGGAGCTTCTGCTGGGAACCTACATGTCAAAATCCACACCGGTCATAAACCTTCACTTCACCCGCAGGAACCTGCTGTTGGCTGCTGGTTCCTACAATCCATGAGAGTTGAGTCCACAGGAGCGGATTTATTGCAGACAGCTCGTCGCCATGACAAGTGCCATTGTTGATTGAAGACTTTTCCTTTTTTATCACTGCCACGAGTACAGCTTTTTTCAACACTAGGCTAACATCTCCGTATTATAGTATTTTATATTGTTGTACACTGTAAATAAAAAACATGTTTTCTATGGTTTGGGCATAAATGTTCTTTATTGTTTACATGGGGAAACCAAACAGTCATATTTTTTTTACAAGCATGTCCAGATGCTTCCTCCTCTACCAGCTGTTAGAAACGACCTAAATGGACACCTGAAAGGAGATAATGAGGGTTTTAAGGTAAATGAACACTTTCCTAAAGGACAATGGATTTGGAAGATAAGAAGTAAAGACTTACATGATCACTTTTCAGTGACAGCGGCCTGTTTCTTGGGCTTCAATTTGAAGAAAAGGCCAATGGCTAGTATGCTGGCATATGTGGCCAAAACACACTGAGGGGATAAAAAAAGGATGCTTAATGGGAATATCATTAAAGATTCAGCTTCCTTGTCAGTTTCACTGTTACGCATGAAATTATTAAATTATAGGTAAGGTGAACTCACATTCCTCCTTCCTGTGATTGTGTATGCATTGAAGTACTTTGCAAACCCAGTGAACTGGTGCTGGGATCCTGCGTCGTGTCCCCCCATTATTGATGGTTAATGGTCCTAAAACAAGGAGAATAAATGAGTCATTAATACAGAACATGAGCTTAATTCAATCTTTAACGTAGGTAGCTGAAAGAAAACACTTGAATGACAGGAAAAGCATTAACAAAAAGTATGATGGCAAGATCCTGTGTATACAATGCAGACTTATGAAAATAAGCAAATATATGTTCATTATATCTGGGTTTTGGTAAAGTTTGTTGCAAACTTTAAAGAAGTCACCTTGGGCCCAGGGAACAAGTAAATTTAAAAGCAAAATAGAATCAGCAATTTAAATTAAAAAACAGGACGTTTAACCTGGTATAAATCACACAACATTTGATACAATATCACAACTCTTGACAGGACAGATTGCGGTTGGCTTTGCGTGCTGTTAAGATAATTTCTTGCTAACAATGTCAAGACGCTAAAAACACACTTTTGCGAAATACTTGATTATAGACGCATCTATTGTGTTTGCTTCACGCATCGGTTTTTCTCAGCCCCAGATTTCATTCATGGACTTCATCGGTCAGTAACTAACGTTGACGTTAGAGCAAGATGGCTAATATGTAGCCTGCTATCTGAGCTAGCGTCGGTTGCATTTTCACACCGTTCGTTAACGTTAAATAACAAAATGCCGAACAGGGGCGCGTTAAAGACAAGTGGGGTGAATTACTACTCGGGCTGCTTGTTGAACCAAACGTGAAATGTGTTATTTTGTGAATGTGTTAGGACTTACCTTTATCAGCTCGACCCCTGTGCAGACAGAACGAGAAGAGTGCCCTTCAGTAGAGGCCGCGATGCTTGATTTGTTAGGAAGTCCCGCCTACACTCATAATCCAGGGATTTGTCACTATTGGTTCAAAGTGATGTCACTCAATGGCAGCGTCTAAAACGGCCACTGAATGGCTGATAGTGGTGTCAATCGCATTTTCCTGCCTGCGATTGGAGAAATAAGGCACGCCCATTTGCGTTTTACTTCCGGGTTGTGGTCATGGCGTGTTCCTGAACAACATGTGAGTTTTACCGGAGATTTAACGGAATGAAGCAATTCGCGAGAAACACCAAAATAACCCATTTGTATTACATTCAGATTGAAATCAGATTATCTCTGTCTAAATAGGCATTTTATTTGCTGGCAATCATGCTTGATGTTTAGCCCCACTGCTAAAACACGTGAAGGTAGCTAATGTTGTCTTGTGCATGTTGAGCCGGAGCGGTAACTTCATGTGCAGCACTGTTGCCTCTGATTGTAATGGACTTGCTTTTGTTTTTGGTTTGATATATCTAGTTGTGCTAGAGAGCCAAGCTGCTGTCTGTGGTTCTCATGGTGATCATATGTGTATAAATGTCAGTAATATAAGAAAGTAAGAAAAACATGGCTGAGTTGCATGCAATGCACAAACTGGGTCTAATTATCCATTTGTCTCTTCAGCATAGGGCAACTTGTTCTATATGATCAGCTCAGATTGCCTGTTTTAATACGATGGAAACGTCTCTGGTTCTTCTTAGTTTTAGATTAGAAACGACATCAAACATGGCATCAATGGAGGAAGACTTCCCTCGAGGAGGACCAGCGAAGAAGCTCACCGAGAGTAAAACCAAGGTGGAGCGGACAGAAGTGGACAACTTATTCCAGGTAGAGGTCTAATCTTTTCCATCATCGTATCTATACTACTGTAAAAATCCTAAGGATTATCACACAATGTCCTTTCTCACACACACAAATATGGCTTATATTTTCTATACCTACTCTTAGTTAGGAGGTACGGATAAAATGACCGTGGGCATGTGAACGATGCTTTGCTCTTCTCACGCAGTCGAACGAACAAGCCGAAACTAAGAAAAGAAAAGGGGCTGGCAAAGATGCCGACCAGAAGTTCAAGAAGCCAAAGACGGGCACAGGCGATCATCTGACGCTGAATGCAGAAGCAAAGTGTGTGGAAATTCTACACATCAAGGTAATCCATTTGTTGACCCACATACTGGCGTGTGTGGCTTGGGAGTTACTGTCGGTATCTAGGTTTAATGTTTTGTGCGTTTTTTTTGCATCCCCAGAATTTGCAGGAGGGTACCCTGTTACTGGGCTGTGTGAAGGAGGTAACGGACTTTGAGGTGACCGTCGGTCTGCCCTGCGGCATGGAGGGCTTCCTCAGCATCATGAACATCTGCGACTCCTACACCAAGCTGCTCAACGAGCAATTGGATTCAGACGATACAGAGGTGGGATTTGTCTGATTGTCACTTACATTAGACAAACGAGTATACCTTGACAGTCACATTCGTGTCCTACGGTTTACTCATTCCCCAGGATATTTTTTTAATATTTAAGAGATGTATCTTGTCTTTTTACTTCACAGGAGATCTGCTCTCTACAACATCTCTTCTACCCTGGCATGGTGTTACGGTGTGTCCTTGCCAAGTTGGATGTAAGGAAAGAAGGCTCTCTTAGCATCCAGCTGTCAATCAATCCAAAGCTGGTCAACAAGGCTCTCTCCTCCAGCTCCCTGAAAGCTGGCATGGTGAGTTAATAGTGGTCTTCAGTTAAACATTTGGTCGAAAAATGTAAATCCAACAGTTTACTGTAATGTTATTCTGTGAAAACTCAGGCCTTGAGTGGATGTGTGGAGAGTGTGGAGGATCATGGCTGCATAGTTGACATTGGCGTCAGTGGAACCAAAGCCTTCCTGCCTAAGAAAGCGCAGGAAAACATCCCGGAAGGTATGACGCAGCATTTCATCGCCTGTCATTTGCCTGTCATGTCAAAATAATCAGAGTCGATTGCAGACGCAGAGCAGGACAATTAGTTGTGTCCTGGTTTTCGGCATCACAGTCATAAAGTAACACGTTTGAAAGAATTGTAAGCACATGGCTCAAGCCTTGGCGTGTTCTCATGTCTCCAGAGCTGAAAGTGGGTCAGTATTTGACTTTTCAAGTGGAAGGAGTGAAAAACGACGGGCGCGTGGTCCACCTTTCAGTCCGGCCTCCGACCGCCGTCCGGGCCTGTGCTGAATCCCAGCAGGGCTGGAACCTCACCAACCTGCTGCCCGGCCTTCTGGTCCAAGCTACCATCAAAAAGGTGAAGATGATGCTTTTATTTTGGTAACGGGTACATAGTCTCCCCAAGGATGAGGGAAAATCATTGGCAGCCTTGAATTTGTGTAGTCAATGATCTGCGCTCAGGGGGGAACTAGGCAGATATGGTGTATTTCTCTATACTTGCTGCAACAACAAATCGATAAAATTACATTATTGAAAAAGTTGGCAGCAATTTTCATTATCGATTTGTTGTGTTGCGCAATTATTACGCCCCTCAATGCGTCGTGGAGATGTTTGAGTATAATAAAAGAAGTTGAGCGCTGAGTGTGAGGATTTGTGAGTGTTTGATGAGAGCAGCGGTCCCCAACTGTTTTTGCCCGGCTTCATGAAAGACAATATTTTGCAGACCGGTCTTCAAGGTTCGGCGCATAAACATGACAAAATATCGCTGTGCACGGCAAAACAACACTTTGGTGTCAAGAGGGACAAGCGTGTGGAATCGGGAGAGAATCTGGTCATTTTTCAAAATAAAATGTTCAGATTGGTACAAAAAAAAAAAATCTCTTTGCAGTTGGAATAGTATAACTACTGTCTACTTCCAACCTGATGGAGTCACTATCGCAACTTCAGTAGTAGCCTTGTTTCATATAATTAACGTCTCCATGTTGGTATTGCAGGTGACCAAACATGGTCTGATCCTGCAGTTCCTGTCCTCCTTTACTGGCCAGGTGGATGTTCTCCACATGGAGCCTGAGCAGAGCTACACTGAAGGAAATGAGGTAAAACTGATCCGTCCAGGTTTTCAACTCTCTGTCAAGTTGCTCCATTTTACCAGCTAACCGATTTCCATGTGTTTTTATTTTATTACACACGTGTAAACCCGGTAGGCTAACCCCTGTGTTTGCAACCACCCACGCAGGTGCGAGCCTGTGTGCTGTATGTGGAGCCGTCCACCCGTCTGTTGGGCCTGAGCCTGCGCAGCTACCTCGTCCAGCCCGGGGCCAGACTCGAGCACGCTCCGGCCGGAGGCGAACGCATTGGCGAAGTGGTGAAGGACTGCAAGGTGGTTGCAACGCACCACATGTCTGGAGCCATGGTGGTACTGCCGGACAAAACTTTGACCTTTGCACATGTGAGTCGCGGAGAGGTTTACATTTTTTCAGTCTTAAAGTAACGGCCCGGTCAGTGGTTTTTCAGAAAAGTCTCAGTAAAGGGCGTGAACCGGATGATCTGTTTAACCACGAGTGTTGGCGAGTTTACCAGCGGCGTCTAGCATCACGATGAGATGGGTTGACAAAGTGACATGTTCCCTTGTTAAAGCCTGCTCTGACTATTGGGACGAGCAAATGCTCTTTGTGAATATTCTGCAGACTCCTCAGCATTGGGGTAATAACTTGCATGCATCTATCTTGACAGAGGAACCACCTGAAGGAGCCCAATGAGCCTCCCACTGACAACCGAGTGCTGGCAAAGACTACGCACACTTGCAGGATTCTGAGCTTCAGCCCGATGGACCAGATTTATTTCGTTAGTGTGCGCAAGTATGTAGCTCCTCATTTATGTGTGTTATTTCACAGTACCGGACTTTGCTGTTCTAATGTGATTCATTGACCATCACCCCCTCTTTGATTTCAGGAGTGTGGTTGAAAGGCGTTTTCATCGCTATCATGATATTCAGGCCGGTCAGCTTGTAGAGGTAAGAATAAAGCGTGTTTACGTCAAAGAAAGAGTTTGACATATTGAGAACTACTTTTGTTTGCTTTCTTGTAGAGAGTTGGAAGTTGAGCTCGCTTTTGTACCCATTTGTTAAATATGAAACTAATACCTGTAGCCATTTAGCTTAGCATACAGGCAAGAAAAAGGGGCAAAAAGCTAAGCAGGACAAGAAGACCCGCACCTCAAAGGCTCACATTACATTACCTGTCTATCTAACCTCAATTGGACAGACAACACTTAATACTTAAAGCAGCAAAAATATTTCTATTGATGGTTATTGGAAGTCCGATTGAACGGCTTAAAGTGGAGATGTTGAAAGCCATAACATGTGGCAGCTGGATACGGTGAACTACCCTCCCCAATAATTGTATCCTTAGTGCAGCTCAATTTCTGTATTCGTCTTGTGTTTTCCTCCAAGGGGACCGTGTCGGTCCTGATTGAGCACGGCATGGTGGTGCACCTGTCCAGCCACATTAAAGGCCTGGTGCCCCGGACTCACCTGTCCGACATCCTTCTCAAGAACCCAGAGAGGAAGTACGTGCCGGGCATGAAGATCAAATGCCGGGTCAGACCAATTCCTTTATTTTTTTTAAGGACTAAAATGCGCCCGAGAACAAGCTGTGCGTAGCAGAGTCTCATCCCTTTTATATTTTGTTTGAATATTCTCCTCCAGGTGCTGTCAGTAGATGCAGAGAAGAAGAATCTTTACCTGAGCAGAAAGAAGGCTCTGGTTGAAAGCTCCCTGCCATTGTTCCTCAGCTACGCCGACGCCCGTCCGGGCCTCGTGTCCCACGGCTACGTTGTCTCCGTCAAGGACTTTGGCTGCATTGTTCGTTTCTACAACGACGTCAGGGGTCTGGTGCCGCTCAACGAGCTCAGCTCTCAGCCAATCATCAATCCTGAGGAGATGTTCTATGTGGGGCAGGTGAGGAGATCCGACGGCGTGGGCACAGATTGTCAAATCTGTTTTTATTTATGTCATTGTTCCAGATGTTTGGGAACCTGCAATAACGAGACTTTGTGTTGCATTTTGCATCTGACAAGTTGTTTCTTTGTTTTTTTTTACGTCGGCCGTCCAGGTGTTAAAGGCTAAAGTTCTTCAGTGTAACCCAGACAAGGCAAAGCTGGTGCTGTCGTTTAAGGCCGCGGAGGGAGACGCGGAGGAAGTTGCTAATCCCCAATTTGACTGTGAAGTGGGGCAAGTAAGTGTCTCTTGTTTCGTTTTTCTTTAATGTGAATTTATCAGTTTCTGAGCTCAACCTGTGTATTTGTGTGACGTAGAGGCTGGAGGCTAGAATACAGAAGAAGTCCGTCACCGGTCTGGAGGTGGCCATCCTCCCCGATGATATCCGAGCTGTAATACCCACAATGCACCTTTCTGATCACCTGTCAAACTGCCCACTGCTGTTGGAGAGCATGCAGGAGGGAGACACCATCTCCAACCTCATCTGCTTCAGCAAGAACAAACGGAATATTGTATCCTTTTGATAACAAAAAGTCTCTATTTATTGTGTAAATTGGGTATTGTGTGTTTCTGATTGCAACTAAAGAGAAAACTTCAACCTGCTCGGAGTGATTCAGTCGGGAAGTTGTTGTTTTCCTTAGCTACTCCTCCTGTTAAAGGCGATCTCCAAGAAACCAACGGTGCGATGGTCGCTGGAGCAAGGAGTGTTTGCCAAGAACTTCTCTGAAGTCACTGTAGGAATGCAGCTGATTGGCTGGATCAAGAACCTCATGCCTTATGGGGTCTTCGTAGAGTTCCCATACGGCCTTGTTGGTCTTGCTCCCAAGTCTGTGAGTAAAGTGCTCCTATGTTTACATGTTCTTGCTCTCTACTTCTAAGCCGTTCTGTCTTAATAGTTTGTCCTCTGCTTTTGCTTTTTTCTTTTTTTCTTTCCCAGGCCATGACAGACAAGTTCATCAGCAACACAGCGATCGCCTTTCAACCGGGTCAAACGGTGATGGCGAAAGTGACCAACCTGGATGAGGAGAAACAGCGTTTCTTGGTCACGCTGAAGATTTCGGAGGTCATGTGTCCGGAGGGTGACGCCCAGACGAGACTCATTAACGGCCTGCAGGAGAGACGAGCTGTGGCTGAAACGTTAGCCGTGAGAGGTATGATTGCACGGCTCTGTAATTCTTCGATTTGAAGTTTGTCTTCGGTGTCTTAACGTCTCGTGGTCTCCGTCGTTGCTCTCAGAGGACAGTGACCTTCGCCAGCAGCTGGCTGCCCTGATTGTGGGTCAGAAGCTGAAGTTGACTGTGGACACCGTGGACAGCGGTGCCCGCTTTAAGTCTGACAATTTGGCCGGTGCCACCATAAAAGCCACCGAGGACCAGGTTATAGGTGAGTATTTAAAATCTGAATGTCCGATCTTGCCGAGTTGACTCATCTGTCATGCTGCAGTGTTACAAATAAATCTGTTAAATAAATGTTAAATGTATTTGTGTGAGCTGCTGTGTATAGAATTGTGTTTTGGCTTCCCTGTTTCCAGGTGTTGAATTGACCTCAGGTCAAAAGGTTACCGCGGTCGTCCTCCACGTTGACATCCTGTCAAGCTGTGTCCATGTGTCCATCCTACCCAAGCTGGTGGCAAAGAAGAAATCTGTGAGTATTTCTGCTGTCACTGCTGCTTTGGTGTTTTGTTGTTTCATAAAACTTGTTTCTCTGGAGCCGCCTGATATTACACAGAAATGTACTAAACTGTTTGGGCTGTCGGGGACACTCAGCTTCTTAATATAATCTTGCCGTTTTTGTCCTTTTTTTTTTTTTTTTTCATTCATTTCCTTACAGTTGGCTGAAGGATCAAAGCACACGGCGACGGTGCAGCACATCGACCAAGACTTTGCCACCGTCTCACTGGGCGACACGGCACAGCTGACCGTCATCCAGACGAGCAGCCACCTCAACGAGGTTTTCCCGTCCGAGTCGGACAAGCTGAAGGCGGGAATGAGTCTGTCCGTCGAGGTCATAGAACCCAGGTGCCAGGAGCTGCAGGGCCTCGCCCTGGTGTCGTGGGTGTTCGGTTCGCCAAAAGAACACGTCAGCACCTTCAAACACTGGGCCAGCTCGAGGGGCCACCGCTTCGGGGATATCGTGCGGGGTAAAGTGCGCGCAGTGAAGCCCGCCTCCATACAGGTCACGCTGGAGGACGGAAGGACGGGCAGCGTGCATGTGTCTGAGGTGGTGGAGCTGGCGGAAGTGCGTCCGGGATCCTTCCCCACGTCCACAGTTCAAGTTGGGAGTGAGATCACCGCCAGGGTCATCGGAGGACGCGAGGTCTCCACTCACAGGTAACATGCTGAAGGGTGCACATCTGTAGTCGTAGGTTCCCTCTGCTTGCATCCCATTCTTGATCAAACAGCCAATGTCAAAGCGTCAAGTTGAATGTGATTTGTGTTTGTTTGTTTAATAGAATTGAACTTGAGTTTCTTATTCCAGATTCTTGCCCTTTTCCCATCCCAAATTTAAGTACAACATCCCTGAGCTCACACTCATACCAAGGTAATTGTAGTACAGCTCATTCAGCTTTGTTATCATATACTGCACAATAAACTGAATATTATGTTTATTTGTTTCTGTTTATTATTCTTAATCTCTCCAGCAAACTGGATGAGAACAAAGATTTCAAACCCGTTACACCCGAAGAGAAAATAAACGGCTATACGGTCGGGGAAGAAGTTACGTGCTTTGTATCAAAGGTGAGTCCAGAACATCATAGTGCCTTCCAGTAGCCTGCTTTATTTCCTCCATGTTCACCCCTATTTTCTTTTACAAATCAAAGCTAAATTGGAGTGAACGTGCAGGAGAGGTTTTCAGTGTGTTCATGCTTCTGCCTCCAGTTCAATCAAAAGAGGAAGACTTTGGAAGTCACCACAGATCCTTGTGTTACAATGACAGTGGACCTGCTGGGCATGATCACAGACCCAAAAGTAAGTGTTTCATGTGCGTGTTGAATAGAATGCGTTGGCACCGTTTGTAGCAGTCAAACGTTATTGTTAAATTTGATGACAAAAGATCACATGAACCTTAATTTCATCTTAAAACAGCTGTGATTGTCAACTCTTATTTTCAGTATTCAAGCCACCCGGAGAAACTGTACAAGATTGGCCAAGCCGTCCTTGCCAAAGTGGTAGAAGTGAACTCCGACCCTATAAGTTGCACGCTGTCACTCACAGGTTTCTGAAATGCATGAATTACTTCCCAGCGTCGTGTTTCACATGGCTATCGCCCATTTGTTATCTCGTTTTCCGATTTGCCACACAGACCACAGTTAATCAGATTCTGTACTTCTTTTGAAGGTGTCCATCAGCTGGAGAAAGGCAGCGTAACTTTGGGAGTGGTCACCAATATTCACCCACAATTTGGCGTCCAGGTGAAACTTCCCTTTGGTAACATGGGAACAGTTGCTGTGACGGACCTGAGCGACGCCTACAGGCCAACTCCATTTGACGCGTACAGCAAGGATAAACTGCTGAGGTCAGGAGATGCAGCAGCAACCTTTGGCTGACATGTTCTTCAAATGTGCTGCACATGGACAGTTAGAATGATTAGTTATCAGAAGAGCTTTTCCCCTGTGATGTTTCATTTCAGTTACTTTCTGAGTTTCGTCACTTTGTAACAGTTTGCATCATTATTGTCTTTCTCTTTATGGTTGTAAATGCTGTTTTTTGACTTTGCCCTGAATACATTCATGGTCACCTTCAGGGACACATTATCAACGATCACTTGCTATCGTTAGACCCCATTTGGATTAAATATTTTTGCCTCTTTTGCTTTAGGTGTTTCCTCCTCGGTAACGAAAATGGCAAGTGGCAGTTATCTCTACGTCCATCAAGGTAAGAGCGAGTTCAGTTGGATTTTTCAGTTGTTTATCAAACTCCGACACGCATCTCATGAAAACATCTGGCTAACATCGCAACTTTACTACTTCTTTTTTTTTTTTAAGGTTGTACCCCCAGCAGAGCAAGCCAGTGAAGGACCTAGAGGTTTTGTCTGTAGACCACCTGAAAGAAGGCAAGACCATCAGAGGCTACGTCAAGTCTGTGGGACAGCATGGGGTCTTCATCAGGTGATTGTACTTTAGCTTTAACTTCCTTTTGGCCTTAGACAGACATCACAATCGTATTGAACTCCGTGGACCCGAACATGATCTAATGTGGAACATATATTTTCTTTCTTATTCCATTTTTTTTTTTTCACCTTCCAGGTTGTCGACGAGCATCACGGGAAGAGCCCAACTCCAGCAGTGCACCAAGTACTTGGTCAAAGACGACACGGTCCTCTCTAAGCACCTGCCTCTCAACACCTTGCTCACTACCAAGATCTGCAGGTAAGAAGACTGCCCCGGGTTTCAGAACCAAAGGAACGAGTCGCTAGAACCGACCTCAGTAGTCCGTTTGGGCACCGTGGAAGGATGGAACAGCGTAGAGCTGATTCGCGTCCCGCACGCTGCAGCTTTAGATTAACAGCCGTTTATAGACATGCCGCTGTCTTCACGTCCAACGCCTCTTGTCCTCAGTATTGACCAAGAGGAGGGGTTGGTCCACCTCTCTCTGCTCCCGGAGGACACGGGGAAGCCAGACGTCCTTCCAGAGACTCTCGGCCTGCAGCTGCGTCCTGCGGGAGAGGAGAAGAAGAAGAATAAGAAGACGACGTCTGTCTCTAAGGCGGCGACGACGAAGAAGAAGCGCGCAGCGTCTGAGAGTGTGCAGGTAACAAACTCGCTCCGTTTGCTCACGTTAACATTTCCTTCCATGCTGCTTTTTATTAAGCAGTAAACGCATGGTAGGAGACCAATCATGGATCAATGCTGTATCCAGTTATCAATTTTTAGCTTTTGAGTAAGACTGTAATAAAATGGAAACAGCCAAGCTCGATGGTCACTGATGCCCGTGTCTCTTTACTGTGGCTTTAATTTGTTAGAAGCAATTGGAGTCCCCGATCACAAAGAAAGCAAAGACCGATGACAATGACAGCGGAGTAGAGGTGTACTTCCGAGAAGAGGAGGACAAGAGCGACAAAGAGCCCAAGTCGAATTCTGTGAAAGTAAGCAAATACAGCTGACTTCTCAGTATCCTTTACATCCACATGAATCCCCATAGATTTGGAACTGGGATGTCGTTATTCGGAAACCTGAAAAATGACCGCTTTCTTCAGAAGGTGACGCCGAGCGCAGCCGTTCCATCCAGACTGCAGGTGGCAGCAGGTTTCTCCTGGGACGCTCATCTGAGCTCCTTGAAGCCGGCCTCCGCGGCACAGGAGGGCGACTCCAGCGACGGGGAGGACCAGGACCACAGCAACAAGGTGAGCTGACCGCGAATCCAAGTCTATTCGAGGAGTTCCACTCCCCTTTGCATCTATGCTTGTGCTACCATCAAACTCAACGTCCTTCCCGTCCATCTGGTCTCTGCCAGCCACAGAAAAGATCTCGCCACGAGCTTCAGCAAGAGAAGAAGGCAGCAGAGAAGGCCCTGGTACAGCGGGAGACTGAGCTGATGGATCCCAGCCTGCGGCCTCAGGACGCCGCCGCCTTTGAGCGCCTGATCCTCGGTTCACCCAACAGCTCGCTGCTCTGGCTGCAGTATATGGCTCACCATCTGCAGGCCACCCAGATCGAGCAGGCCCGCGCTGTGGCCGAGAGGGCCCTGAAGACCATCTCCTTTAGGTGATTGCTTTACATATTTATTCGTTTTTAACTGTGAACCATTAACGTAAAACCATTTTTTTATTTATTTAAATCATCCCATATGAATAGTAATTGTATCTGCTCTGGTGGGGGGGAGTGGTGTGTGTGTCCACATCTGTTACTATAGGCTGGCTTTATTCTTTTTTTATTTTTTTATTAGCACAATTCAAGCAATACAAAATAAACAATATAGAAATAATGAATATCACTGTGCAGGAAGAAGCAAAAAGCCAACTCTGCTTTTTTGAAGCTTCCACCTAATATAGTTTTAGAAATATTTTACATAATAACAAACCTAAGACGAAATATGCATGTTTAACTGACTCCCTCTCTATGAAACCTGCATCCGTCCAGGGAGGAGCAGGAGAAGCTGAACGTGTGGGTGGCCCTGCTGAACCTGGAGAACATGTACGGCTCGGAGGAGAGCCTGAAGGTGGTGTTTGAGCGCGCGCAGCAGTTCTGCGAGCCCATGCCTGTGTACCAGCAGCTGGCTGACATCTACGCAAAGTCCAACAAGACCAAGGTACCATCGACTGGGTGTATTTTTTCAAGACGGTTCTGTAGACGGTTCCGTGCGTTTAATCCTCTCTGTCACGTTTGTCCAGGAGGCCGAGGGCCTGTACAAGACGATGGTGAAGCGTTTCCGTCAGAATAAGGCCGTGTGGCTGAGCTACGGGACCTTCCTGCTGCAGCAGGGCCAGAGCGACGGCGCCACTGTTCTCCTGCAGAGGGCGCTGAAGAGTCTGCCCACCAAAGAGAGTAAGACCCCGTGTTCTCACAAAACCATTCGATCGAAGTTGTTGTATTGTACAGCCACCCACCTTTTTTGACCCTGCGTCAAAGTGCAGCGTATGGGACCGTCCAGATTCTGCCGTCCCGGCCGTGTTTCTCCACCGGTTCCAACCGTTTGTGTGCCGTCCTGCTTCCTCTCAGGCGTAGATGTGATCGCCAAGTTTGCTCAGCTGGAGTTCCGTTACGGTGATCCAGAGAAAGGTCGCACCATGTTCGACAAAGTCCTGACGAGCTACCCGAAACGCACGGACCTGTGGTCCGTTTTCCTCGACCTCATGTTCAAACATGGCTCACAGAAGGAAGTCCGGTGAGTCATGGCCCCTGACTTTGCTCCCTGAGTCCCCGCTGTCACTTTTAACACATTTTGATTGATTCCTCGTATATATTTTAATATAAAGGATTCTGTTCTCGCTACATGTAAGCTAATGAGCCTTAGCCGTTACATGACAACCTGATGTGTAAAGGCCAGTCTTATGATCAAATATGAAGAATGCCGTTTGGTGTTTTACAACTACTCGTCTCCTGCAGGGCGCTGTTTGATCGTGTGATCGCCCTGAGTGTCTCAGTGAAAAAGATCAAGTTCTTCTTCAAGCGCTATCTGGAGTACGAGAAGAAGCACGGCACCCCGCAGACCATCCAGGCAGTCAAGGAGAAGGCCGTGGAGTTTGTGGAAGCGAGAGGCAACGAGGCTGCCAACTGATGACCAAATACACACTATGATTCACACATTGAGTGTGCGCGCGGACTACAGGTTGCTGAACCCGGTCTGAGTCACGCAGCCTGTGGCTCCAGATTAAAGGTTCCTTCTCAAAATGATCAACTTAGCTTAGCTTGTAATTAAGTCATTTTTTTACGGTAAGTGAGTTGGAACAATCTGCGATTTGACATTTCCTCATAGTATGTCTTTTTATGAGAACAAGCTTTGCAGATGATCATTCATGTAGTAACATTTTTTTAATAAAACATTTGTGGGAGCATGATCTAATAACCTGTCTGGCCTTTCAATAAATACAACTCATTACAATACATTATGTGACGTTTTATTTAAAAGCAACAAATACAAAATAACAATATATATATATAGGGACATGTTTACATACAGGCAAGACTACTTTTCTATCAGTCTCTTTCTAAAAGGAAAGCACACGGGACACAATCTGTAACGACATCGTCTACTTATCTTGCCATGGTTGTAATCCCGCCGGTCTTGGTTCCCGCTGGACGTCGAGGCTGATCTCTGACTGCTGGAGCATTTCCTCTACATCGGCAGTACTGAAGATGCATGTGTGGCACGGTGTTATAGGGTGGCTGACGCGGTTTGTGCTGGCTGTATTGGTAACACCCCATAGATATTAGAGGTGTCCATACTGATCCTGATGTCCTTCTCCATGCCTGTAGTGTTGTTGGTCTCTTTTTTTTTTGGTGAACAGTCCAATTATGAATGTAGAACTAAGAGCATTTCTACTATCTTTACTTTTCTCTTTTAACGAGATCATCCACCTGCTCCTTAACCGATCTGACCAAATCCTTTTGGTGCTGTCAAGATCTGATTCCCATGAAGGCATGTTGCTCAAAGGTCATCTGCAGGGCAGCCACTTGGATCACTGTCAACGTATCTTGTGGGATGTCTTTAAGATGACCACTGCTCGTCATTTGTAGTGTATTTAATATGTGTGTGTGCGCGTTGTCCGTGAGGAGAGTCCTCTCTCGGCTCTGCCAGCTCGCTCAAACCTCCTCCGGATCCAACGGCTCCTCGGCACCCTGGGGGGCGATCTACAGCCCAAGTGATGCTGGGCTTTTGAGGCTTGTAGTAATCAATATTTTAGAAATAACTGATAATGGCACTACTACTGTTTTGTGTAATTGCATAGTTTTGGGCCCTTTAAATGTGGAGTTTCCATCTGCAATCCTCTCTGCCTCAGACCTACCTGAAAAGGTAGCAGCAGAAGATGAGGCTGAGCATGAAGACGAAGAGGCCGACGCCCAGCACAATGACGTACACATTGAGCGGCAGGTGGTAGATAGGGTGGTCAGACGTCATAGTGCAGTTGTGTTCAGAACCCAAACCACACAGGCACCCTGGTAAGAAGAGCAGAGAGCACGATCCCATACTTAACACACATTAGTATTTCCTACACGGGTCGATGGAAAGGGTGAGAGTCATTCTGTGGGACTATCATGAGTTTACCTCAAAACCTTTTTAGTCTACAGGTTTCTGTATTTCATGTTTGTTTATAGCCTCACTCAAAAATAGAGAAGTCTGGCTACTGGAGGGTGATCGGCTGCAATCTGCTGTCCCTGCAGGACTTGTTCGCTTCCACGTCTCTGAAGCGTGCTAAAAAAGATCGTAGCCGACCCCTCTCACCCCGGACAAAAACAGTTTGTGCCCCTTCCATCTGGCAGGAGGCTGAGGTCCATCAGGACTAAGACCTCCCGCCACACGAACAGTTTCTTCCCGTCGGCAGTCGGGCTCATCAACAGAGCCCGGTCCCCCACTGACTGACTATAACATTCCACCGGTCACTCCCCCTCATACTGCACATGTCACTTTAACTGTAATTCATCACTTTGTCGTCACTCGTCACTTTGTTACTTGTCTGTTACTTGTTCGTTAGTGCACTTTATGCTTAAGATTTTTCTTTTTAACTTTTTTAATATTTACATTTTTTAACTTTATTCCCTTGTTTTATACTAACCCATAGCCTTATTCTACTAACCCATTGCATTAGCATTTCATTTTACTTTATTTTATTACTTGTGCACTGCTGTCTTGTCCGTCTACTGTCGCGCACTAACCGCCAAGACAAATTCCTTGTATGTTTGGCATATTCTGGTAAATAAATGTTTCCTGATTCCCGATTCCTGACTTAATAGTTTATTTTCCGGTAACAGTACAGTATTCAGTTGTTAGCATTGACAATTCTTAATTGGCAGCATAGAATTATGACGCTGCAGTTCGTGTTGTTCTGTTGCTCTTTAGTGAGCAGTGAAGCTCCAGGGATCTATGTAGATCATATCCCCCGGTCAAGGAGTGATTACTATCTGAAAGCGGTAAACATTGCATTTAAACTGTGATTAGCAAGAAAATCAGGGCAGAGAAGCAGGAGACTTTGAGCATCAACCTAAACAACAACCTAAATCTAGAGTTTAATAAGAGATTTAGTGAGGAGTTTTAATATAATTGCTGGGGTTTGTTTTGATGCAGGTGTTTCCAGGGACCCCTCAAAGTGTGTGACAGTGTGTTACTTGATTGTGAACATGGCAAACATGGAGGACAGACACCACTTCCGCTTTACCACCATCTGTTCCACAGACTTTATGGAGTTGGCTGGTGGAGCAACTTGAGCCTGTTTGAGCAACAGTCCTACAGTCATTCACAAAACATGTAGAACTCCACCAGCACGACAGCATACCAGCATATGATTGTATATTAAATTAATTTACATCAACATGTAAATCGTTTTTTTTCAGGCAAATCATTTCCAAGTCAATACTCAGTATTCAGTACTTTCTAATTTTTTTTTTGATTTAAGTTTCTTTTCAATAAAATAAAACATTTGCATAAAGGAAGCCAATCGACTTTTCCATGTTGATAAGAGCATTAAAATGGAAAAAAAAGACATCTAGAATAGAAAAAAATTTGCAATTAATTGTGATTGTGATTAATTTCGAGTTAACTATGACATAAATGCGATTAATCACTTATATATAAGTTGTGTTCAATGGGTCAATGGGGATTGTAGCGAAGACTCAACGCTTCGAAGGGTGTGAAGCATTCATATATTTGTTTGTGATGAGTACGCAATATTTCTGTTGGAAGCCGGATTTGACTCAGTTTTTCTTAGTTTGGTGTCCTTTTGGGCACCCCTCGGCCCCCTATCAGGACAACAAAGTCCACTTAGATAATCAGGAAAACATTTATTAAACATATATTTAAACGAGAAATGCAATAATGCATCACAATTAGAACAGTGACAGCATGTGGAAATTGGTTGTGTTCAGTAAATTCAGTAAACACAGTGATTGAACAACCCACTGATCTCCATCTTAATCATGTTGCCTTTCTATCACAAGTTACAGCAGTCTTCATTTGGTGGATGTGAAGGACATGTTGATGCCTGCAGAGAACAAAAAAAAGACATTTATCATCTTAACAGTTTTACAAATGAGAAGTCGCCTCATCAATCTGGTCCTCTATTATTTTACCAATGTTTTTATTCTTGTGCAATGCCACAGAAGCACCTTGACTAAATTGATGACATATACGTTGAGGAAACACATTTGTATTGAGTCATGCAAACGCTAAATTTGATACTGAATATGAAACACACATATAACCTCCTGTACATCTGACAGAAAAACCTCACAGGTATGTAGAACAGGAACATGTTGTATTTACACTGGTGGAGAATTTAGGTCTTTCTTAATGGTTGCTTTTAAAGCCTTAAGCTTCAAGAACAACTTGATAATTGAGCAATATTTTAGCCTTCTATGGGAATGAGTGTGTTTTGCTCTATTTTCAGAAATTATGTTTTAAAGGTTGGATTTCCAGGCATCACAAACCTGTTTACTGTCTAAAGTCACAAAAACTGAGGCCCCCTTTGCACCCAGAATGTCCGCTCTGACATGACTCAGCTAAATAAAACATATCAACAACAATTTAAACACAAACTTCTCTTTGGTCAGCAGGAGACCATTTCCAGTTCTTTTCCACATCAGGAATCATCCAGATGTTTATATTTCCGGGGGCCGGGGTCCTGTGTTTCAAAGGCAGATACTATCCTATTTTATGGTGTTTTTTTCTAACTTTTCAAAACATGCAAAGAGCCAAACCGAATTTCTAAATGTTTACCTGTAGAATCCAAAATGCTGTTGTAAAACTCAAAAGCCAAATACTACATGTTCAGTGCACAGAATGGAGACCTGACGATAGTAATTACAAGTTACTAACCAAGCCTGCAATAATTGCGTTATTACTAACATGCTTTTTCAATTTCTCCTCATCTTAACGACTTTACCTCAGTGAGCTGCACTGCAACACAATACATACACAACACAACACATACATAACACAACTTCACAACTACACCAGCGCAGCTATACATCTGGTGTCAGATGTTGAAAGATCTTCATTATGGACAAAAACATCCGGGACACTTTTATGTTCTGACAAACACAGAGTGAATTTCCTTACTAAGCAAAGCATAATATTTCAATAAACATTGTCATTTATTAGTTATTCAGTATTGTGTTTTGGTTATTTTCTTGTTATTTGTAACAAATAATCTCATATTGAAATGGATTGCTGTAAATACACAGCATTTTTACTTACTGCAAAACTTTCTCTAGAAGTCAGCAGTGCCCCGTGAGTTCAGCGTTATCGGCTGTTAACTTGGCATTTATTTCCCTGAGGTTGGTGTTGTCCGCAGCAAACTGGTTTCTCTCTCTTCTCCAGAGGGTTTTGTCTTTATTCACTATTGTAGGGAGGGGAGCAACAGAACAGCAACGAAACACTCCCATGAGTTATCATACTTTCATCCCCATGTCAAGTGTATTTATTTAACGTTTCTGTTACTAACATTGAAACTGAATGAGGAAAAACTCACTTTGGACCCAGAGACAAATAATTACGGCCAGGAGGAGAAGACACAGCAGGCCGAGAAACACTGACTCAGTTCTGATGGGATTCCTCTTCTCGACTTTTTCAACGATGGCTGACCAAAAACAAATCAAACTTTTTTGAGCTCTACAATACTAAAAGCTGTAATTAATAAAACAAAAAGGAAAATATCATTTGAACTCCCCTCCAAAATCAAGATAAAATCGCTACAGGAAAACCCAACCAAACCAAAGTTTAATTGAAACCTAAAAAAAATCTTTTTGCACACACGCACATACACAGTTGTTGATTATGGTTCTTATTTCCATACCTGGGTGCTGAGCCTCTGCAGGTGGTGTATTTGGGGACGTGGCCTCCATCCACGGGTTGTCGTACACTCTCAGGCTTTCAGCGCTGACGTAGATGTTCACTCTGCTCTCCTTATCGTCCTGATCACAGTAAACATGGTTGACGATGCCGGGCTGAGTGTACAGATCCCCCGACATGCTGCTTATAGAAGTTAACAATTGCTGCCAGAGATTGTCTTACATATCAATACAATAGTTTTGTCGGTTTTCTGAACGCATCCACAGTGATGTCGCCAAAAGGGGAAGATGACAAAAACAGGATGTTGTGCTTGTTCCTCCTGAATTCCCCTGGTTATCAGGGACCTTTGACCTTTGATTTCTTGTCCCATAACCACATATGCTGGTTTATTTTCTGTGACCACTTAACTGAAAAGCAAACTTAAAATAAGTGAACCAAAACATGGACATGGTCCTGTGATTGTAAGGAGGCCGAGACAAAAGGACAAAAACCAATGACATTCTGATTCTGGATTAAAAATAACATCTTGGTCTGCAGTTTACATTAAAAGAAGTCTCACACTGTCTCACACCGTCTCATGGACTCTTCACAGACAGTCTCGTAGACTGTTCCGCGGACTGTCTCATGTACTGTCCCACACACTATCCCATAGAATGTCCCACAGAAGACCTTACAGACTCTCCCACACACTATATACTATTGAATAAATATAATCTGATGAATTGGGATGATGAGGCACTTAAAAACCGGCCTATACATTTTACCAACATTTGCACAATCTTGTCTGACATTTTAAGCAGGCTTTACAGTCTGTACACGCGAAGGCAAAAGGAAGACGTAGGAGAGATAAGAATCTCTGTCTGTGACAAGGTCGCTATGGTAAACAGATTCTTGTTCCCCCAAAGAAGCAGCAGCAGCATAAATATCAGTGCAGTTGCTACACTTCTTTGTCAAATATTTAGAAGTTTGAGGAGATCGAGATGGCTTTGAACGCTTCATCCAGGAGTAAGTAACTTTAATGTTGTCTGAAACCATCATACTTTCTGTATCTTATTCTCTTTGGGTGCAGAGTTTTTGGAGTTTATTGTTTTAGACAAATTTGGGTGGGGGTTCTGCCTCAGAAAAAAAGTAATTAGGGGACAAACTACACATGAATTTAAACCTGTCATGGATTTTAATCCTGCCACAGTGCAAGAAGTGAAATAAACATCACGGCTGATAATAATGCTGCATGTCCCTTTCTGGTTTTGGCACAAAGAGGAAAGACTCTACAAACTGGTCGCTGTAAGCGTTGGACTACTTTGTATTCTATAGGCTGCAGCAAACATCGGACTGCGTCTTTCTCTTTGTGAGTGATTGTACATCTCTTATTTTACTTTAGAAGGTTTAGTGTGTTTGTATCTAGTGTAGGTTTAGTAAAACTATCAGTTTTATTTCTTTTTGAGAAAATTTGATACGAATATACTGTTTGTATATAAATGTATTTGGTGTCCAAAAAAGTGATCTAAAAATGACTGACATCCTCAAATGATGATTTTTACTTCCAGTATTACGTTCCTCAAAAAATAATCAATATCTCATACAACAGCTGCGTCTTTGCTTCTGCTATTGAGTAATATATGTTTATATGTTTTAGATGTTTATCTCATCTATATCTCTCTAAAGGCAGATAAGAATGTGTCTTGCAAGTTTTTCTTATCAGAATGAGCTTTATTGGCCGTGAGTGCTTATGCATGCATGGAATTCATGTCTGATTAAATGCCTGATTATATCTGCACTTTTAGATGGTTGCACTGCCAACGGGAAGCCGGATTTGGAGGAAATTATCAAGAATTTGACTGAAAAAGAAGAAGATTTAAAAGGGAAGCTGAGTAACTGTGGTGAGTATGAAGATACAACTGGAACAATCTTGACGACATTGAAAGAAAAAAATACAGCAACAGATTTAAAATGTTTTCTATAACTACTTTTCTCTGCCTAAAATGTTTTTATCACCTCGTAACTGACTCGTGTTTAGAAGTAATTTTTTGAAAACAGATTGGATGAACACATTTGTGTCTAAAAGGTGGAAGTATCACGCTGGTTGGGATGTTTTTACATGATATTGTTACCAAGGTGTTAATACAGTGACAAAACTGATGCTTTCTGCACTTTTAGATGGTTGCACTGCAAGGAAGCTTGAGTTGGAGGCAATTCTAAAGAATTTGACTGAAAATGGAGAATATTTAAAAGAGAAGCTGAGTAACTTTGGTGAGTATGTAGATGAAACTGAAACGATCTTCACGACACTGAAAGAAAAAAATACAGCAACACTATTAAACGGTCTTTTATAACTACTTTTCTTCGCTAACATGTTTTACATTTTTTGTTACCTTGTAACTGACTCACGTTTGGAAGTAATTTATTGAAAACAGATCAGATGAACACATTTGTGTCTAAAAGGTGGACGCATTGGGATGTTTCTACATGACATTGTTATCTAGGTGTTAATACAGTGACAGATTGTTTCTCTGCAAGGAAGCTTAAGTCGGAAGATTCAAAAGGGAAGCTGAGTAAATGTAACGACATGGAAAGAAAGAATATACAGAAACACTATTAAATGGTTTTCTATAACTACTTTTCTCTGGCTAAAATGTTTTTATTTTTTTGTTATCCTCAACAGATCACTACCTCAAACAGGGATGGGTGTATTTTGACCAGAGTTTCTATTACATTTCTTCTTCTCAAATGTCCTGGCAAGACAGCAGAGACGACTGTCTGCAAAAAGGTGCCGACCTGATAATAATCACCAGCAAAGAAGAGCAGGTGTGTGAAGTGAAATCTGACCGTCAGAGATAAATTGTGAGATCAGATCAATGGACCCCGAGATGGAATGTGGCTGAAATCGGTTCAGTTTCGTTTACTAATGTTTTTATTTTACTGTAATCAAGGACTTTGCAAGACAATTCAAAAAACGCAGCTGGATTGGACTGACTGACACGGAGACAGAAGGGACATGGAAATGGGTCGATGGGACTGAACCGAAAGAAAGGTTGCTGCATCTTTCAGCTGTTTAGTGGTTTCTTTGGCTGTATTTTCTATAAATGTATTTTGTGTTTATTTTCAGGTACTGGACAACTGGGGAGCCCAACAGCTACCAAGGTTCCAATGAAGACTGTGGAGAAATTAGGTTCTATGAAGAACAACATAACTGGAATGATTTAGAATGTAGTTACAAAAACTTCTGGATCTGTGAAAAGGCTTTGGCTCAATAACTTTGTATCCAAACCCACCATACTCATAAAAATCATTAATCAGTCCATGATTGACACAAACATGTCACTGTAATAAAAGCACCGATGTGAAAAATAATATTAATAGTGGCTGATTTCCCTTTGGCTGCTTCACATTTAGAGATTCCATGGTGGTGCATGAAATACTTAATATTGTACATGTAGTATGAACCGTAAAACCTCTGCTCTATATTTTACATTAAGTCTCATTTTATTTCCCCACGCAAATATCAGCAGTGCTACACAAACACCCATTATGTTTTGTTAATTGTTTAAGGTCTTGGAAGGATGTAACCTATCCCAGTATGAAAATAAATAAATAAATCAATGTGCGTATTACAGTTTTTTCTGGGGGGGGGAATCCACTGTGTGATACAGTCTGATGGCAGTGGGCACAAATGAGCATCTGAAGCGCTCCTTCCCGCACCTCCAATGAGCCGATGGCTGAATGAGCTGCCCAGCTGCCACAGGTCCCCATGAGGTGGGTGAGAAGGATGGGGTTCCGTGGCCCCCATCTTCCTCCCACCCACTCTAGACTGACCGTCTCCAGACGCACCACCGAGCTGGCTTTCCTCACCAGGAAGTGGAGGTTGGGGTGCAGCTTGTTGAAAGCAGTGGAGAATCACAGGACATGACTCTCACAGTTCTCACAGCTACTCCAACAGAGAGAGGGCCTTGTGTTTTAATCATGGTTGCCTCGGATTGTTTTATAAGACCCCTTAACCTGTGTTGGAGCTGTAACGTTAGGCTATAAAATGAAGTTGTTCTGGATGTTTACAGCTTTGATATTTGATATTGTCTCACACGCAGTCTTACACTGTCTTACAGACTGTCCCACAGAAGATCTCGCAGGCTCTGCATTATTGTAAGAGAAGATCAGGAAAGCCGCTGCATATCGTGCTATTCGTAATGTTTATTTGCCGCTTAAGAACGGATGTTGAATGTTTCACGGATTCAATTGAAAGTAAGTTGTCTGCCATATTTTGACATGCTTCTTGTCTGGCATCACAGCGGTGGCAGTGTTACATTTTGCCAAGAATATTTAATTCAACTGTTTTTATTTTCCATAGCCAAAATTCGCAAATTAGCCTGAGAGGGTTTGGGAGTCTGTGCACGTGAAGGCAAAATGAAGAAGTAGGAGAGATGACATTCTCTCTCTGTGACAAGTTTGCTCTGGTAAACAGATTCTTGTTCCCCTCATAGAAGAAGAAGAAGAAGAAGAAGAAGAAGAAGAAGAAGAAGAAGAAGAAGAAGAAGAAGAAGAAGAAGAAGCAGCAGCAGCATAAATATCAGTGCAGTTGCTACACTTCTTTGTCAAATATTTAGAGGTTTGAGGAGATCGAGATGGCTTTGAGCGCTTCATCCAGGAGTAAGTAACTTTAATGTTGTCTGAAACCATCATACTTTCTGTACCTTATTCTCTTTGGGTGCAGAGTTTTTGCAGTTTATTGTTATAGACAAATTTGGGTGGGGGTTCTGCCTCAGAAAAAAAGTAATTAGGGGACAAACTACACACAAATTTAAACCTGTCATGGATTTTAATCCTGCCACAGTGCAAGAAGTGAAATAAACATCCCGCCTGAAAATAATGCTGCATGTCCCTTTCTGGTTTTGGCACAAAGAGGAAAGACTCTACAAACTGGTCGCTGTAAGCGTTGGACTACTTTGTATTCTATAGGCTGCAGCAAACATCGGACTGCGTCTTTCTCTTTGTGAGTGATTGTACATCTCTTATTTTACCCTGTGATTCCTGTGAAGTATGTATTCACACTCACGTCCTCAAACAGAAGATACGTTAATCTCTTGAGTGTTTTCCTTTAGTGGCTCAATGATAAAACCTCAACCATGATGGTTGAATGCACTTATTGTACGTCGCTTTGGATAAAAGCGTCAGCTAAATGACATGTAATGTAATGTAATGTAATGATGGTCCTGAACATTATATGACACAAGGCTGATAGTATATGGTTAGTTCAGATTGGATTTCCACTTTTGAGTAACAAAGTACTACCGAACTCCACTCACGTGTTATTTGGTGTCCAAAAAAGTGATCTAAAAATGACTGACATCCTCAAATGATGATTTTTACTTCCAGTATTACGTTCCTCAAAAATAATCAATATCTCATACAACAGCTACGTCTTTGCTTCTGCTATTGAGTAATATATGTTTATATGTTTTAGATGTTTATCTCATCTATATCTCTCTAAAGGCAGATAAGAATGTGTCTTGCAAGTTTTTCTTATCAGAATGAGCTTTATTGGCCGTGAGTGCTTATGCATGCATGGAATTCATGCCTGATTATATCTGCACTTTTAGATGGTTGCACTGCAAGGAAGCTTGAGTTGGAGGCAATTCTAAAGAATTTGACTGAAAATGGAGAATATTTAAAAGAGAAGCTGAGTAACTTTGGTGAGTATGTAGATGAAACTGAAACAATCTTGACGACACTGAAAGAAAAAAATACAGCAACACTATTAAACGGTCTTTTATAACTACTTTTCTTCGCTAACATGTTTTACATTTTTTGTTACCTTGTAACTGACTCACGTTTGGAAGTAATTTATTGAAAACAGATCAGATGAACACATTTGTGTCTAAAAGGTGGACGCATTGGGATGTTTCTACATGATATTGTTATCTAGGTGTTAATACAGTGACAGATTGTTTCTCTGCAAGGAAGCTTAAGTCGGAAGATTCAAAAGGGAAGCTGAGTAAATGTAACGACATGGAAAGAAAGAATATACAGAAACACTATTAAATGGTTTTCTATAACTACTTTTCTCTGGCTAAAATGTTTTTATTTTTTTGTTATCCTCAACAGATCACTACCTCAAACAGGGATGGGTGTATTTTGACCAGAGTTTCTATTACATTTCTTCTTCTCAAATGTCCTGGCAAGACAGCAGAGACGACTGTCTGCAAAAAGGTGCCGACCTGATAATAATCACCAGCAAAGAAGAGCAGGTGTGTGAAGTGAAATCTGACCGTCAGAGATAAAGTGTGAGATCAGATCAATGGACCCCGAGATGGAATGTGGCTGAAATCGGTTCAGTTTCGTTTACTAATGTTTTTATTTTACTGTAATCAAGGACTTTGCAAGACAATTCAAAAAACGCAGCTGGATTGGACTGACTGACACGGAGACAGAAGGGACATGGAAATGGGTCGATGGGACTGAACCGAAAGAAAGGTTGCTGCATCTTTCAGCTGTTTAGTGGTTTCTTTGGCTGTATTTTCTATAAATGTATTTTGTGTTTATTTTCAGGTACTGGACAACTGGGGAGCCCAACAGCTACCAAGGTTCCAATGAAGACTGTGGAGAAATTAGGCTCTATGAAGATCAACATAACTGGAATGATGTAGAATGTAGTTACAAAAACTTCTGGATCTGTGAAAAGGCTTTGGCTCAATAACTTTGTATCCAAACCCACCATACTCATAAAAATCATTAATCAGTCCATCATTGACACAAACATGTCACTGTAATTGTCAGGGTTTTTGGACTGAAGTACCCTGAAGGACCATGTGGGGTCCTCAGTGATCCAGTGTTATGTATGGCACCTGTCATGAGTCTGTGTGGTCTTGATTATTCTCATTGCGTTCACCTGTGCCTCGTTCTCTAGCCTTTAAAAAGCCAACTGTGTTTCTCTGTGTTTGCTAGTGATGGCAAAGTGAAGCTTTCTGAACCAGTGAGGCTTTTCCAGCCAATTGTATCGGAAAAAGGTTCATTCATTCAATGCATCGCAAACTCTATGATGACCTCTGCTGTTGAAAACTTAGTGCAAATGTATCGAATAGCCCACCAGTATATTTTGGCCCAGTCTCTGTGGGTTGAACATGATTATGAAAAGTTGAACCAATAAATCATCTAATAAATACATGGATTCCTATATGAATAAAACTATTGTTTTTCAGGTTTGAATTGTGTCCTTGTTTGTGTATTTCAATTCTCTGTACATTGGAAAGAAGTTTAACAAACACTTATCTATATCTTTCTGCACCTTTGTGCATGTATGTTTGTGATCATACTAGCAGAATAATTAATAGAAGATATATATATATATATATATATATATATATATATATATATATATATATATATGACATGTAAGCAATATAATTTAAAATATCAGCAAGTGCTTCCTACTGCATGTGCAGTTCATGGCAGTCATAGGGACTTATGTGAATTGTTTGAATGTGGGAAGTGATTTGCAGAGGAAAGGTCAGTGGGGCAGTGATTGTGCTGACAGGTTTCTTATGACAGGATATTGAAGTGCTTGTGGACACATGGGATGGGGCATGAAGTTATTATTAATTTTTATTGAGAAACACAATTTTTTCCACAGAATTGGGGTTGAGTCGGTTTCTTAGATACTATTTCCCCTGCCTTACAAAAAAGGCACTTACACGACACGATGAGGCAGGAATGCTCAAAAGATTACGTGCTAATACAAATAGATGTGGGTACACATGTTTGTGTTTGATTCAATATTTTAGCGGGTCTTCACTCCGTGGAATGTTTGATTCAGCCAAATATCTGGTGGTCTCCACAATAAAAATAAACATCCATAATTACACAATACAAATGACAGACTTTGTCTGCCTATTACAAACCTTGTTAGAGGAAATCAAATTGAAGTGCTCCCACATCTCGGAGCGACCTCTCTTTGCCACAGGTTCCATTGTAAATTTGCTAATACTACTACAACAACACTGACTTTGACTGTATCAAACAGACAAGCCCCAACCCTGTTTCGCGCCCATTTGAATCAATTCGAAGCTGTCACGTGACTGTGCGCCGGAACGAAGCTTCGGACGTCACTGATCACGTGATCAGCAGCGAACGAACCGAGCACCGATACAATTGCTTCGCCCTGCACTGGTTCATATTTCGACACAAGCTTCGAAGCAGGAGGGTGGGAGGTAACAACACTAGTGTTTGCCGAGTCTTGGATCTTACCACCTGGAGCTGAGCTGTGTGAGACCCTTGACAACTCTTCTCTGTTAATACCCTTTTGTGGTTTAAGATCTTCTGTTGCCTGTTCTTTGGGACACCCTTAGTTTCCTGTTAAATGCTCTGACTTTGTTTTTAGTTGTCTTGGAATATTTTGAGTTTTGTCTACGATATGGTACCTACTACTTTTTGCAAGTAATGAAACCTTTTTTTGACTCAACATACGTCTTGTCCGTGTCTGTCTCTGCACCTGAGTCACCACCACCTAGAGCACAGTGGTAGACAATCTGCCTGCTACACCCAGACCCAGGGTTGGATCTCGACGATCCTGATAGCAAGACTCGGCCATGGAACCAGACTCAGCAGAGACAAAGGCTTCCCCATCATCTCGGCAACCCCGGACACCAACTGCGGCGGATCAACTCTACGCGGCAGTGGCCTGTCACGACGCCACTGTGTCTCGCCATGATGCTCGGCTAACCCTCCATGAGGCTGCCTTCACTCGCCAAGAGCAAGTCCTGCAGGGCTTACAACAGACTTTGACCGATGTACTAGCTCGTTTGCCACCACCGGCCTCCTCTGGAGCTACAGCACCATCACGTGATTCCCTTCCACCTGGGACCCTTGCAGAACCACGGCTACCCGCTCCCGAGAGGTATGACGGCAACCCCAGGGACTGCCGGGCCTTCCTTACTCAATGCTCTCTCACCTTTGAACTTCAAGCCTCCTCGTTTCGCACTGATCGTGCTCGCATAGCCTACGTCATAACTCTTCTGACCGGAAAGGCCCGGGCATGGGCAACAGCTGTTTGGGATCAGCAGGGCCATTCCTGTGATGACTTTAGCACCTTCACGGGCGAGATGCGCCGGGTGTTTGACCATCCCTTGGGAGGTAGTGATGCAGCTAATCGCCTTTTTCAGCTGCGTCAAGGCAGTGCTAGTGTTGCTGAGTATGCGGTGCTCTTCCGCACCCTGGCAGCAGAGTGTAAGTGGAACGAGGAGGCCCTGATGGCAGCGTTCCGGAAGGGGCTCGCTGGCATTATCAAGGATGAACTGGCAGCTAGGGATCCTGTTGGGGATCTGGAGTCCCTAATAGACCAGACTATTCGCCTCGACAACCGCCTGCGAGAGAGACGTCGTGAACGAGGGCCATACAGCGGTTCCAGTTCCGGAGCCACCGCTTCAACCTTCAGTTCGCCACAGTGGCCTTGTAGGCCTCACTGTGACCCACCTTCTTCGGAGGAGCCGATGCAGCTTGGTGGAACTCTCCTTTCCCAGGCCGAGCGGGACCGAAGGAGGAGGGAGAGGAGCTGCTTCTACTGTGGAGCTCCTAACCATTTCCGCGCCTCGTGTCCCATGCTTGCGGGAAAAGCACTGCCCCCTCCAGTAAAAGGAGAACTGTGACGGGGGCAACTCTAACTCCTTCAGACTCTACTTTGTGCCTGCAGCTTCCTTTCACCATTTCCTGGGAACACCAGCAACACGCTGTTGATGCACTTGTGGACTCAGGTGCTGCTGGGAATTTCCTGGACCTCACCCTCGCCAGGCGCCTTCACCTGCCCATGACCGGCCTGGACCACCCTCTCTCAGTGACGGCCCTTGATGGCAGGCCCTTGGGCAGAGGTACTGTAACCCATATTACAGCTCCTGTTGTTTTGTCCATTTTCGAGAAACGCTATGAAAAGATTCAGTTTAATCTGATCCACACTCCTGAGTTTCCTGTTGTGCTAGGGTTCCCTTGGTTGTCTCACCACAGTCCCCATATCAATTGGTCTTTGGGAACGGTGGTAGAGTGGGGTCCAAGGTGCAAATCTTCTTGTCTCCTCACTAGAGCCGGGTCCTCAGTTCCCAAACCTCACAGTCCTCTAGATTTGGCCCATGTCCCCTCCATGTACCATGAGTTGAGTGAGGTATTTAGCAAGAGGAGGGCCACTGCCCTGCCCCCTCATAGGCCTTTTGACTGTGCTATTGATCTCCTCCCAGGGTCCATCCCTCCACGAGGAAGGATCTTCTCCCTGTCACCCACAGAGACTCAAGCTATGGAGGACTATATCAAGGACTCCCTGACAGCTGGAATTATCCGCCCCTCGTCCTCCCCTGCCGGTGCCGGATTCTTCTTTGTCGGGAAGAGGGACGGCGGTCTCAGACCTTGTATTGATTATCGGGGCTTGAACAAGATCACGGTGAAGAATCGTTACCCCTTGCCCTTAATGTCCTCAGCATTTGAACTCCTACAAGGCGCAACTATCTTCACCAAATTGGACCTCCGTAACGCCTACCACCTGGTCCGGATCAAGGAGGGAGATGAGTGGAAGACGGCCTTCAACACACCTACAGGTCATTATGAATATTTAGTTATGCCATTTGGGCTGTCCAACGCACCAGCGGTTTTCCAAGGACTCATTAACGAGGTTCTCAGAGAGATGTTAAACCATTTTGTTTTTGTCTATTTGGACGACATTTTGATTTTTTCCAAATCCCTTCATGAACACGTCCATCATGTCACGGTCGTCCTCCAGCGCCTGCTTGAGAATCACCTTTTTGTAAAGCCGGAGAAATGTGAGTTCCACGTCTCTGAGGTATCCTTTTTGGGCTTCATCCTTTCCAAGGGGAGTCTTCTCACAGATCCCAAGAAGACTCAAGTTGTTCGGGATTGGCCCCAACCATCCTCTGTCAAGGAGGTACAACGGTTCATTGGTTTCGCCAATTTTTATAGGAAGTTTATCAGAAACTTCAGTGCTGTTGCCGGACCTATGACCGATCTCACAAAGAGGAAGCCTGGGCCCTTTAAGTGGTCTCCATAGGCAGAGCGGGCCTTCTGTGAACTGAAGGTGAGATTCTCCTCCGCCCCTATCTTGACCTTACCTGATCCCTCTCTCCCCTTTGTGGTCGAGGTAGATGCATCGGAGGCGGCAGTAGGGGCAGTGCTTTCCCAGCGGCCGGCAGATGGGAAGCTACATCCTTGCGCCTTCTTCTCCGCTCGCCTCTCAGCTGCTGAAAGGAATTATGATGTGGGGGATCGTGAGCTTCTGGCCATTAAGATGGCCTTGGAGGAATGGCGCCACTGGCTGGAGGGGGCCCAGCACCCATTTGTGGTTTGGACGGACCACAAAAATCTGGAGTACATTCAGAGGGCCAAACGTCTCAACCCCAGGCAGGCAAGGTGGGCTCTTTTTAATAGATTTTATTTTATTTTGGCATTCCGCCCTGGTTCAAAGAACCAAAAGGCTGATGCACTCTCTAGACTGTTTCACAGGCCAGAGGTTGATAAAGTTCCAGCGTCCATCCTCCCATGCTCGAGGATTGTAGCTCCAGTCCGATGGGGAGTTGAGACATTGGTGCGCCAAGCCCAGAAGAGAGAGCCAGATCCCGGGGATGGACCCTCCAACAGGGTGTATGTTCCTACTGTTGTGCGAACCAAGGTTCTGCAGTGGGGGCACTCTTCGCGTCTGACCGGCCATCCAGGAATGGGCAGGACTCTGGAGTTCATCAAGAGGCGGTTCTGGTGGCCAGGGATGAACATGGATGTAAGGTCTTTTGTTGCGGCCTGCTCAGTCTGTGCCATAAATAAGACTTCCCGTACCCCCCCCTATGGTCTCCTACACCCTCTCCCCATTCCCAAGCGACCCTGGTCCCACATATCCATGGACTTTGTCACAGGTCTTCCCCTCTCCCAGGGAAACACTGTTATTTTGGTTATTGTCGACCGCTTTTCCAAGGCGTGTCGGTTTGTCCCCCTGCCCAAACTCCCCTCGGCTCTTGAGACTGCTGAGGCTGTGTGTGAGCATGTCTTCAGGGTCTTCGGTCTTCCCCTTGATGTGGTTTCGGATCGTGGGCCCCAATTCACGGCTCTGTTTTGGAGAGCCTTCTGCAAGCTTATTGGGGCTACGGTCAGCCTCTCCTCTGGGCACCATCCAGAGTCCAATGGACAGACGGAGAGACTCAATCAGGACCTGGAGACCACCCTCAGATGCCTGGCCTCATCTAATCCTTCGTCTTGGAGCAGGTATGTGATCTGGGCGGAATATGCCCATAACACCTTATGCTCTTCTGCTACAGGACTCAGTCCCTTCGAGTGCCAGTTTGGGTTTCAACCTCCACTGTTCCCCGACCAAGAGGCAGAGGTTGGTGTTCCTTCGGCCCAGAGCTTTGTCAGACGGTGCAGGATTGTATGGCGCAAGGCCCGGTCTACCCTGCTAAAGTCTGTCCGTCAGTATCAACACCATGCCGACCGGTACCGCAGACCTGCCCCCACTCTACGTCCGGGACAGAGCGTTTATCTATCAACACGAGACCTTCCTCTGCGGGTGGAGTCCCGCAAGCTCGCTCAACGGTTTGTGGGGCCTTTCAAGGTCGTGAGGAGGGTCAATCCAGTAGCCTATCGCCTCCAACTCCCCCGATCCATGCGGATCAACCCCACCTTCCATGTCTCCCGGCTATGCCCAGTTGCCACGAGCCCACTGGCCCCTCCAGCCAAGACCCCTCCTCCCCCCAGGATCATCGATGGGGGTCCAGCTTATACGGTCCAACGCCTAATGAACTGCCGCCGGGTGGGGAGGGGCTTGCAATATCTGGTGGACTGGAAGGGCTATGGTCCAGAGGAACGGTCCTGGGTCCCTTCCCGGCATGTTCTCGATCCAACCCTCATCAGGACCTTTCACCAAGAGCATCCAGATCACCCTCGAGGGAACGTCAGGAGACGTTCATAAGGAGGGGGGTCCTGTCAGGGTTTTTGGACTGAAGTACCCTGAAGGACCATGTGGGGTCCTCAGTGATCCAGTGTTATGTATGGCACCTGTCATGAGTCTGTGTGGTCTTGATTATTCTCATTGCGTTCACCTGTGCCTCGTTCTCTAGCCTTTAAAAAGCCAACTGTGTTTCTCTGTGTTTGCTAGTGATGGCAAAGTGAAGCTTTCTGAACCAGTGAGGCTTTTCCAGCCAATTGTATCGGAAAAAGGTTCATTCATTCAATGCATCGCAAACTCTATGATGACCTCTGCTGTTGAAAACTTAGTGCAAATGTATCGAATAGCCCACCAGTATATTTTGGCCCAGTCTCTGTGGGTTGAACATGATTATGAAAAGTTGAACCAATAAATCATCTAATAAATACATGGATTCCTATATGAATAAAACTATTGTTTTTCAGGTTTGAATTGTGTCCTTGTTTGTGTATTTCAATTCTCTGTACATTGGAAAGAAGTTTAACAAACACTTATCTATATCTTTCTGCACCTTTGTGCATGTATGTTTGTGATCATACTAGCAGAATAATTAATAGAAGATATATATATATATATATATATATATATATGACATGTAAGCAATATAATTTAAAATATCAGCAAGTGCTTCCTACTGCATGTGCAGTTCATGGCAGTCATAGGGACTTATGTGAATTGTTTGAATGTGGGAAGTGATTTGCAGAGGAAAGGTCAGTGGGGCAGTGATTGTGCTGACAGGTTTCTTATGACAGGATATTGAAGTGCTTGTGGACACATGGGATGGGGCATGAAGTTATTATTAATTTTTATTGAGAAACACAATTTTTTCCACAGAATTGGGGTTGAGTCGGTTTCTTAGATACTATTTCCCCTGCCTTACAAAAAAGGCACTTACACGACACGATGAGGCAGGAATGCTCAAAAGATTACGTGCTAATACAAATAGATGTGGGTACACATGTTTGTGTTTGATTCAATATTTTAGCGGGTCTTCACTCCGTGGAATGTTTGATTCAGCCAAATATCTGGTGGTCTCCACAATAAAAATAAACATCCATAATTACACAATACAAATGACAGACTTTGTCTGCCTATTACAAACCTTGTTAGAGGAAATCAAATTGAAGTGCTCCCACATCTCGGAGCGACCTCTCTTTGCCACAGGTTCCATTGTAAATTTGCTAATACTACTACAACAACACTGACTTTGACTGTATCAAACAGACAAGCCCCAACCCTGTTTCGCGCCCATTTGAATCAATTCGAAGCTGTCACGTGACTGTGCGCCGGAACGAAGCTTCGGACATCACTGATCACGTGATCAGCAGCGAACGAACCGAGCACCGATACAATTGCTTCGCCCTGCACTGGTTCATATTTCGACACAAGCTTCGAAGCAGGAGGGTGGGAGGTAACAACACTAGTGTTTGCCGAGTCTTGGATCTTACCACCTGGAGCTGAGCTGTGTGAGACCCTTGACAACTCTTCTCTGTTAATACCCTTTTGTGGTTTAAGATCTTCTGTTGCCTGTTCTTTGGGACACCCTTAGTTTCCTGTTAAATGCTCTGACTTTGTTTTTAGTTGTCTTGGAATATTTTGAGTTTTGTCTACGATATGGTACCTACTACTTTTTGCAAGTAATGAAACCTTTTTTTGACTCAACATACGTCTTGTCCGTGTCTGTCTCTGCACCTGAGTCACCACCACCTAGAGCACAGTGGTAGACAATCTGCCTGCTACACCCAGACCCAGGGTTGGATCTCGACGATCCTGATAGTAATAAAAGCACCGATGTGAAAAATAACATTAATAGTGGCTGATTTCCCTTTGGCTGCTTCACATTTAGAGATTCCATGGTGGTGCATGAAATACTTAATATTGTACATGTAGTATGAACCGTAAAACCTCTGCTTTATATTTTAAATGAAGTCTCATTTTATTTCCCCACGCAAATATCAGCAGTGCTACACAAACACGCATTATGTTTTGTTAATTGTTTAAGGTCTTGGAAGGATGTAACCTATCCCAGTATGAAAATAAATAAATAAATCAATGTGCGTATTACAGTTTTTTCTGGGGGGGGGGATCCACTGTGTGATACAGTCTGATGGCAGTGGGCACAAATGAGCATCTGAAGCGCTCCTTCCCGCACCTCCAATGAGCCGATGGCTGAATGAGCTGCCCAGCTGCCACAGGTCCCCATGAGGTGGGTGAGAAGGATGGGGTTCCGTGGCCCCCATCTTCCTCCCACCCACTCTAGACTGACCGTCTCCAGACGCACCACCGAGCTGGCTTTCCTCACCAGGAAGTGGAGGTTGGGGTGCAGCTTGTTGAAAGCAGTGGAGAATCACAGGACATGACTCTCACAGTTCTCACAGCTACTCCAACAGAGAGAGGGCCTTGTGTTTTAATCATGGTTGCCTCGGATTGTTTTATAAGACCCCTTAACCTGTGTTGGAGCTGTAACGTTAGGCTATAAAATGAAGTTGTTCTGGATGTTTACAGCTTTGATATTTGATATTGTCTCACACGCAGTCTTACACTGTCTTACAGACTGTCCCACAGAAGATCTCGCAGGCTCTGCATTATTGTAAGAGAAGATCAGGAAAGCCGCTGCATATCGTGCTATTCGTAATGCTATTTGCCGCTTAAGAACGGATGTTGAATGTTTCACGGATTCAATTGAAATGCAGTTGTCTGCCATATTTTGACATGCTTCTTGTCTGGCATCACAGCGGTGGCAGTGTTACATTTTGCCAAGAATATTTAATTCAACTGTTTTTATTTTCCATAGCCAAAATTCGCAAATTAGCCTGAGAGGGTTTGGGAGTCTGTGCACATGAAGGCAAAATGAAGAAGTAGGAGAGATGACATTCTCTCTCTGTGACAAGTTTGCTCTGGTAAACAGATTCTTGTTCCCTTCATAGAAGAAAAAGAAGAAGCAGCAGCAGCATAAATATCAGTGCAGTTGCTACACTTCTTTGTCAAATATTTAGAGGTTTGAGGAGATCGAGATGGCTTTGAGCGCTTCATCCAGGAGTAAGTAACTTTAATGTTGTCTGAAACCATCATACTTTCTGTAGCTTATTCTCCTTGGGTGCAGAGTTTTTGGAGTTTATCGTTTTAGACAAATTTGGGTGGGGGTTCTGCCTCAGAAAAAAAGTAATTAGGGGACAAACTACACATGAATTTAAACCTGTCATGGATTTTAATCCCGACACAGAAGAAGAAGTGAAATGAACATCATGCCTGATAATAATGCTGCATGTCCCTTTCTGGTTTTGGCACAAAGAGGAAAGACTCTACAAACTGGTCGCTGTAAGCGTTGGACTACTTTGTATTCTGCAGGCTGCAGCAAACATCGGACTGCGTCTTTCTCTTTGTGAGTGATTGTACATCTCTTATTTTACCCTGTGATTCCTGTGAAGTATGTATTCACACTCACGTCCTCAAACAGAAGATACGTTAATCTCTTGAGTGTTTTCCTTTAGTGGCTCAATGATAAAACCTCAACCATGATGATGGTCCTGAACATTATGTGACACAAGGATGATAGTATATGGTTTGTTCAGATTGGATGTCCACTTTTGACTAACAAAGTACTACCGAACTCCACTCACGTGTTATTGTCAGAGAATATGTAGAAAGTTTAGTGTGTTGTATCTAGTGTAGGTTTAGTAAAACTATCAGTTTTATTTGTGTTTAAGAAGATGTGATAAGAAAATACTGTTTGTATATAAATGTATTTGGTGTCCAAAAAAGTGATCTAAAAATGACTGACATCCTCAAATGATGATTTTTACTTCCAGTATTACGTTCCTCAAAAAATAATCAATATCTCATACAACAGCTACGTCTTTGCGTCTGCTATTGAGTAATATATGTTTATATGTTTTAGATGTTTATCTCATCTATATCTCTCTAAAGGCAGATAAGAATGTGTCTTGCAAGTTTTTCTTATCAGAATGAGCTTTATTGGCCGTGAGTGCTTATGCATGCATGGAATTCATGCCTGATTAATTGCCTGATTATATCTGCACTTTTAGATGGTTGCACTGCCAACGGGAAGCCGGATTTGGAGGAAATTATCAAGAATTTGACTGAAAAAGAAGAAGATTTAAAAGGGAAGCTGAGTAACTGTGGTGAGTATGAAGATACAACTGGAACAATCTTGACGACATTGAAAGAAAAAAATACAGCAACAGATTTAAAATGTTTTCTATAACTACTTTTCTCTGCCTAAAATGTTTTTATCACCTCGTAACTGACTCGTGTTTAGAAGTAATTTTTTGAAAACAGATTGGATGAACACATTTGTGTCTAAAAGGTGGAAGTATCACGCTGGTTGGGATGTTTTTACATGATATTGTTACCAAGGTGTTAATACAGTGACAAAACTGATGCTTTCTGCACTTTTAGATGGTTGCACTGCAAGGAAGCTTGAGTTGGAGGCAATTCTAAAGAATTTGACTGAAAATGGAGAATATTTAAAAGAGAAGCTGAGTAACTTTGGTGAGTATGTAGATGAAACTGAAACAATCTTGACGACACTGAAAGAAAAAAATACAGCAACACTATTAAACGGTCTTTTATAACTACTTTTCTTCGCTAACATGTTTTACATTTTTTGTTACCTTGTAACTGACTCACGTTTGGAAGTAATTTATTGAAAACAGATCAGATGAACACATTTGTGTCTAAAAGGTGGACGCATTGGGATGTTTCTACATGATATTGTTATCTAGGTGTTAATACAGTGACAGATTGTTTCTCTGCAAGGAAGCTTAAGTCGGAAGATTCAAAAGGGAAGCTGAGTAAATGTAACGACATGGAAAGAAAGAATATACAGAAACACTATTAAATGGTTTTCTATAACTACTTTTCTCTGGCTAAAATGTTTTTATTTTTTTGTTATCCTCAACAGATCACTACCTCAAACAGGGATGGGTGTATTTTGACCAGAGTTTCTATTACATTTCTTCTTCTCAAATGTCCTGGCAAGACAGCAGAGACGACTGTCTGCAAAACGGTTCCAACCTGATAATAATCACCAGCAAAGAAGAGCAGGTGTGTGAAGTGAAATCTGACCGTCAGAGATAAAGTGTGAGATCAGATCAATGGACCCCGAGATGGAATGTGGCTGAAATCGGTTCAGTTTCGTTTACTAATGTTTTTATTTTACTGTAATCAAGGACTTTGCAAGACAATTCAAAAAACGCAGCTGGATTGGACTGACTGACACGGAGACAGAAGGGACATGGAAATGGGTCGATGGGACTGAACCGAAAGAAAGGTTGCTGCATCTTTCAGCTGTTTAGTGGTTTCTTTGGCTGTATTTTCTATAAATGTATTTTGTGTTTATTTTCAGGTACTGGACAACTGGGGAGCCCAACAGCTACCAAGGTTCCAATGAAGACTGTGGAGAAATTAGGTTCTATGAAGAACAACATAACTGGAATGATTTAGAATGTAGTTACAAAAACTTCTGGATCTGTGAAAAGGCTTTGGCTCAATAACTTATCCACTGTATCCAAACCCACCAGACTCATAAAAATCATTAATCAGTTCATGATTGACACAAACATGTCACTGTAATAAAAGCACCGATGTGAAAAATAACATTAATAGTGGCTGATTTCCCTTTGGCTGCTTCACATTTAGAGATTCCATGGTGGTGCATGAAATACTTAATATTGTACATGTAGTATGAACCGTAAAACCTCTGCTTTATATTTTACATTAAGTCTCATTTTATTTCCCCACGCAAATATCAGCAGTGCTACACAAACACGCATTATGTTTTGTTAATTGTTTAAGGTCTTGGTAGGATGTAACCTATCCCAGTATGAAAATAAATAAATAAATCAATGTGCGTATTACAGTTTTTTCTGGGGGGGGGGGTGGAGGGGGGATCCACTGTGTGATACTCACAGTTCTCACAGCTACTCCAACAGAGAGAGGGCCTTGTGTTTTAATCCTGGTTGCCTCGGATTGTTTTATCCGAGCAAAGCATTTAGGACCTGTGCAAAACGAAGTTGTTCTGATTGTTGCCCAGCTTTGAGATTGTCTTATGAGTCGACAAAAAACGACTTGTTTGATGCTCAAATGCAGCCTAAAGCCTGCGTGGGATAAAATAACCAGCAGGGGGCGGTACGCACCATCCGAGGGGAACACCCGGAAGCAAATAACGAGTCTCACGTCCAATCAAAAAAGACTTCAATTTTAAATGAGAAACGGCAGTTCCTTCTCCCAGAAACCCACAACAAGCAACACAACTTACCCCAGCTGTGGGGTCGGGCTCCCGGTTACACGACACTCGTTTCCAGCCAACCTGAGCAATATAGTTTGAGCTCCAACTGCCTCTCGTCAACAGCCGTTTCATGGGAACCCAGGAGGGAGAGAGAGGTAAGGGATCCCGGATGGAGCTAGCGACACGTAACGTTAACGCTAGCTTGCAGCTAACGCTAGTTGTCTGCTAGTTGTTGCCTTCAACTAGCATGTCGTCAACTTTACGCACACATGCTACACTTTAGAGATACATTTTCATTTGAAGGTTAAGCTGGACTCTCGGTTTGACGTTCCAGTAGTGTTTCCAGTAGCAGACACACACTGAAGCTAACGCTAGCTACTTTTCAGTCAACAAAGTTATGGTGAAACTCGTCAGAGGGGATTTGAAAGCGGCTGCTGACTGAGGAACATAGTTTTTGTTTTAACTTCCAACGCTACCAGTTTTATCTGTTTAACGTTACATTAGTTATTAGTTTAACGTGGGTAGTTATTATACACAGTTGGGTTGAAGTAAAGACAGTGGTATTTATACGTAGTTTGTGTGTGTGTGTGTGTGTGTGTGTGTGCGTGTACGTGTACGGGGAGAAATCACTCCCCGCTCTCAAAGTTAAGTTTGCTGCGGATGAGCTCTCATGATGAGCGCAAAAAGTCAAATCTTTCCTCACGCTACACCGTTATCTGTTCTGTTTGACCATTTCATGCCTCTCAGTTTGTCTACATTGTGCAGAAATTCTTTCCAAATATTAATACAAAAGAAGAACTTTACTGTTTAAGATGTGTATAAAGACTGTTGCATTCTTCTACAGATTGGGTCGATGTGGCAAATGACCTTCTCTGCAAGTGTCCCATAAAGCTCCGGCTGAGGAAACTGACGGACTGTAATGCAAATGTCTTCATTGCGCTGTATGAAAACATCTTGGGGGAGAAAGTTCCTGGTAAGATTGCACTGCAGACCGGCTAAATAAACAGTTGGGGTTTCAAGCGATTTTGTAGGGTATTTAATTAAATGAGCCACATTTTCTCCATTTCCAGCTTGTCTGTTGGAATGACTTTCAGTTTTTTCTGGGTTTCTTTTGTCAAATGCGTAAGCAGAGTATCCAAAGATTAAAGTAGTAGTAGACAGTAATTTATGATCTCATTTACCTCCATAGCTCATTTGTACCCCCAACAAGGCCATTCAAATTCAAATCAAAGTGCCGAAACCACTGAAGGTTAACAAGCTGCGAGACTTTATTTTAGAGCATGCTCTCCTGTGTGTGCTTAGTATGTCAGGAATGTTTCCTTTTAAGACCATTAAAAGTGCAATCATGGGACTGTTAAGGTCGCTGAACTCTTTAATACATTGTTTTGTTCTAGAAAGCACTAGAATGAAGGCCCACTGTGTTCAAGGAAGGATGTGAATGTGAAAGCCTAATTGACTGAAAGGTGGAGCCTTAATGATCAGAACTTTCATCAAATCAAGAAGTTATACATACCGTGTAACATGTTTAAATCATCACAATTTACCTTGTTGTGCATTTCTGTGGCTTAATACACCTTTTGGTCATGTTAAGATTACATTGCCGTGCCATGCAGTCAAGAGGATAACGTGCACAACGTTCAGTCTGTGATTGATTCCCTTTCCCTGGATTACCTCCAGATCAGTCTCTCACACATTACAGGTATGTAAAACATGATCACTTTACAACAACATTGAATGTCATGTGCTTCTATAAGAAAAATAACTATGATGAACTGCTACATAAATTCAAATATTCACTTGTAAATTTCACCAACAAGTATCTTCTATTCTGTTACCGTATTTCAGGAAGGAGACTGCAGAAGCATGACAATTACAGTACAAATATTCCTCAGCAATAAATGGATGTAAAATAACGCTGAGAATGGCTGTGTGTTTGCAGGAGAAAATGTCGTTGGGGGTGACAAAGATTCTATCAAGAACCTCCTGGAAATCTTTGATGGCCTCCTGGAATATCTCAAGGAGGAGATAAGCGAGGAGTCACAGAACGGTGGTAGGCAATTTTCTTTCATCAACCTAACTGATGTTTTTATTTCTAACTATTGCACACAAAATGGCTTTATTTTGTCACAAATTGGTATTATTCCATTTTAATTGCACATTTTAGATACAATACACAATAGTATTGCTTCATTTCTTTTTTTTGTGGGAGGTTTCAGGTATAGGAACTCAAAAAGCCTAATTGACCCAAGGCTGAAACTTTAATGATCAAATCAAGAAAACATACATGTTATACCACATATTCAAATCTCATCATGATTTGCAGAGCAGTGGATAGAGGGCTATTTTCATGGCAGCCTTTTGCCTCGACAGTTCTTCGTTTGCCTGAAACTTCTCCTTATACTGACTGAGACATTGTTTGTGTTTGGAAGAAAAGGGTTCTATGTCCTTCAGCATGAACAGGATATAATGTGTCCCAAAGCCAGTTTTGAACGAGCTGGTGCAGGACTTTTTATAGAGAACAGTCAGCCCTCTTTATGTGCCAGAACTGAGCATGCCTTTGTACCAGTAGCTAATGACTGTCTGCACATACTACTGATTCAAATTCCTAAAAGGCCGTAGCATCCCGGACGTGTGAAACCGGAATACAATGTAGCAAAGCTCTGTGGACTGTAATGTTGTTGGGGGCTGAGATGAATATTAATCTGCGCTGGGGGAACATTTGTACAGTCTTGGTATGTCTAACAATGACGAGTTATGCTTCTACTTTCGGGCCCTGGGTTGGTCAGTAGTTGCAGTGTTTTGCTTAGTGCTCAGTCAAATTCCATGTATGGGTGAGCGTAAGCATAGATTTTCAGCTGATAGGGCTGATTCTGATTAGGTGTTTGTCTGTTTTGTGTTTGTTTTTTTCTTTTTGAACAAAGGATTTCCACAGAAAGTATGTGTTTGTTCCTCCTTATAAAATTCCATTAAGGTCATGTATTTCTTTCTCATTGTCCTGAGTTGTTTATTCTACATGTAACCTTTTCATTTCCTCTTTCTCTCTTGGTTATTTGTTCATCTTTTTTCCCCCAGAAGAGCTGAATGGGCGCGTGAATGACGATGTGCCCGATGAAACCAAGGAGCCCTCAAGCTGCAAGGCCACACAACAGAAGGAGACTAAACTGGATGGAGAGTCTTTGTCTTCCAGTGGAGAGTAAGATCTTCTAATCATACTCCCCCAAACATTAAGATGAGTGAAGGTTAAAAAAACAAACATTTTGTTATCATGGGTTTATCTTCTTCTACTCTAACATTTATTTATCTGAAAACGGCATCGGTTATAGTAAAGAAATAAGTCCTAACTTTTTAAAGTAGGGTTTTCTAACAACTTTTGGACACAACCGTTAAAACCCTTTGCGCTTTACAAAGAAATGCCACACCAGGAATTAATAAAAAACTCTTAATAGAATACAAACTTTGGTTTGGTTTAAGGTCTCACAGAAACTAAAATATTGCTGACAGGCAGATTTGTTCCTCGTGACCATGTCAGATCCGCCTGTACATCCTGTATACACAACAGGCTGTTAGGGAAACCTCAGCCATTAGTGTAAATATAAAGAAGGGGGATGGGACAACTTGCATGTGGATGTCCAGTCTGCTGGTAGTGAATGTATTCCATTGAAGCCAAAGGCTCCTCAGTGTCTGCAGCATCGACTGAGAAAGCTCACAGGCAGTGAAACGTGTCCTTACCCATAACATCCTTTTACATTCACAATTGGTGAAGTTGTTTTCTCTGTTGAAAACAGAACCATTTAGTGCAAAACGGAGCAAAGAAAACAGGTAGTTTTGCTGCCTGGCGACCTGCAGAGCTACAATCTGAAGTATGCTGTGGTTCTTATTACATTAGTTATGTAACTGCAACATCGAATGGCTGGGCTGGAATGACGAGACTCAATTTAAGACGACCCATCATATTTTAAACAATGTAAAATGAATACTTTTATATCCTCGGCGCCATCTATAATATTATTACGTAGTACTTGTGTGAACGTTAAATGATGACCACGCCCAAACATTCAGGTCCGCTGTCCATTCCAGTAAAGATTCCCTCCATACCTGGAATGCGGAGGAGATGGGATCTACTAGTGAGCTCATTGGGCTGGGAGTCTCAGCACGCACATTCACAGCCAAACCAGAAGGTAAGACACGTAAGCACAGCCCCTGTTTACTTCACTTAATACGTTTGGACAAAGGACTTGTGTTCTTTATGCATACAAGTTCGATGTGTTTAAATATAGGGTGTCATGAAATCAGGTTCTCTTCCTTGAATAGTTCTCAAATGCCCTTGCATTGCTGTTTGAAACTATTGTAGACACTATTGTACCACCTATTGTGAGGGGGAGGCCACACAGTCATAGTAAACTGTAAATACCTAACCGGTAGTGCGGCTTCACTGCAGACCAAAGCCTAACCTTACGTAAACCAAAATATTAACAGACATCATTTTGCTTTCATTTCCTGTTGCCTCTAGACTTATAAATCTATTTAATCTACTTTTTTACTTCCAGAAAGCTCCACATTGACTTGTATGTCTAATTGACTGTAATTCCAGTGTGAATGAGTTCTGTTTTGTAAGAAGCAACAGGCACCATCGCTAACCATTCACAGACCATGGCGCTTAATTATTAAGGCTTGATCTTGCAGCCGCGGTAACTCTATCAATAAATAGCTTGATTTAATCTGCAAGGACTGGCCGTGCCTCCCCAAACCTCAGATGCTGTCCCCCTCTCTGGTCCTCTGGATGCTCCTCTGACTGAGCCGCTGCCCTTGACCATCGCTCTGCAGCCTCCCTCTCAGAGTGACACCCCCCACCGACCCGTCGCAGGCTCTGCTGGCCTCAGACCAGGCCCGGTAGAAGAGGGAGTCGCGCCTGTCCCTACAGAGGTAGCCGTATTCCGTTCAGTGCATGGAGGTTCAATAGTGTTTGGCTTATTTTCAGCCAGTGAAAGGACTGGAACTGGAAAGCTAAAATGTTTGATCAGAGTAATAAATACAATTCTCCAGATAAAGATCAAATGTGTGTTTTGCGAGTTGTAGGTCCATTCCAAAAATAACTAATTACAATTTATTCTAAGTCGGTTTGAATAAAAGCGTCAGCCAGATGACATGTAATGTAATACTTATGGATTTAATGTTTTCTTCACCTTTCTTTGTAGTCATGTGACCAGTCACAAGTGTCATATGTGTCTGGTCTCCGGGATCAACTGTTTCGCTAATGAATGTCCAGTACTAAGCTTTGTCTCTCTTGAAATTAAATTGTAATGGTCTCTAGTTAATTTCAGACTTTTTCTCCTTATGCAGAGCTCTAAACCGCCTGCTGAGACCGTTGTGACCAATGGACTACATTCTCCTCCACAGTCTCCATGTGAGTAAAATAAACATACCTGCACATCTTGGGATTAGAGCCCAGTGCCTGATTGGATTGATGGTTATTGTCTCCGGTGCCTCTAGAACGTTGTACTGTTCATCCGCTATGCCACTGTGACTTTGTTTCCGGATGTTATGTTTTGCTCCTATTCCAGGTGCGAGGGAGAAGTCATTGTCCAGTCCGCAAAGAGCCGGCACAGAAGCAGTGGGGGAGACACTCGAGGTAAGAGAGTAGCTTCACTTGTAGAGCAACCTCCATAAACACGTTTGGATAGTTATTGTTGAAGGATTCCTACCTCCAGCAACCAGTGTTGCTCTGTAAACACATCAGCTTTTTCAGTGGCTCATTGAAAAATTTGAATTGACTCCTAATTTAGAGTAAAAATCTCAAACAGATGAACTTGACTGCCTTTTTGTCTAATTTCAGCCAACCGACAAGGGTCCCAGGAGGGTTTTATTCCGCACCAAGCCAGATGTGCTGTTCCTCACTCTGCATGATGAGAGGACGGTCACAACCCCTTCTGTGCCAGACGCTGAGGAGGAGGAGCAGCAGCCAGATGAGGACTATCTAGGTTATCCACTAAAACGACCCGACAGCAGGATTAACCACGGGCTCGAGACGGGCGTCGGGTAAGGAGGGTGACCGGCCGTAGGGTAGAATATGGAATAGTGGGTCCTCACTGCCATTGGTATGAAGTCACCTCTTTTGACTGTCTGTTGTCATCGTCTCACCGAGCAGAGGCCTGTCGGAGGAGCCTCTATCGTGTCGCAGACAACGAAACAAGCAAGCGGAGGAAGAGCTGCAACACATATCTGAAAACCTTTCCCATCGACTCGAGGAACTCGATCAGGTGTGTATATCTGGTTTGTATAAGGTACCAGCATTTTGTTTTTTTTGTGTGGAGTATGATGTGTACCTGCTCTCAGTTCATGTATTTATGGTCAGCTTAATGCAGTGGGCTTTATTTCTTCAGGATAAAGTTCTATTTGTGAATTCTCACTTTTACAGATGCTCAAACGAGTTCTGGGGGAAACCGGAGAGTCCGGTGAAGTCAGAGAAGAAGACAAGCAGTCCCACCACAGTGACAGCATCATGGAGTGTGGCAGGACTCCCAGGCAACACACAGGTAACATTGCCATTATCTCTTTGAGAGCTGCGGTCACTAAAAAATACAAGTTTAGAATTGTTCCATGTATTATTCACAGAAACTGCTGACGGCGAAGCCACTCACAGGACGCGCTCCTTATCCCCCTCCCCTCCACGGCTCCGTCGCTCCCTGCACGGACAGTCAAACGATGCCGTGGCGGAGGCCTGGAGTCGGGATAGTGGGAGACAAACCAACCTCGCAGCTCCTGATCATTCAAAGGGAGCAGAGCGGCGCCACAGACTGCCTCACAGGAAACATAGGAAGGTATTACCAAAACTATTCTCGAAAGCACTGAAATAATTAGAATCTCGGATATTAAATGATTTTACATATGATCTTGTGTGTGTTTTGAAGTAAAAAAAGGAATATTGCTCTTTCAGTATGTGGAGAACGAGGCCTATGAGGAGGAGCTGAAAAGATATGAGGACAAAGAACGGGCCGATCTGGACAAGGCTCGGCTGAAAGCTCAACAGGCCGTAAGTCATTAGTATGCATGCGACAATGACCTCTGACCTCCTTCCTCTACAGAGCATCTCCGTTTCAATTGTTACACAGAGCTTAGTCTGTTTCTCATATAGATTTCTCATCACAAGATTAAAACAATTTGCAGGGATAAGCAAAGTCTGTATTTAGGGAAATCATCTCTGGGATATGATGTCATGGCTAAGGGAAATTTACTGGACTACAGCAACAGGAAGTAAAGGGGGTAAAGTGCACACAGGCATAGTAAAACAAATAATAATCTTACTTGCAAAACACTGCTATGTAATATTTATATTAAATGTTGGCCTGATGAAAATGGGTCGGCAACAGTGAAATTTGGCAGGCAGTAAAATATATTGTTCACGGCTCGAAGGCCTCCCTAAGAAAGTATGAAATTATTCTTATTTTTTTTAAGGGCCACAAGCACCCCGTCCGCCACCCTAAAGTTGTAAAACTAAGGGAAGCACTGGTGTGTCATCTATTGGCCATATTGTGTTCCTCTTCAATTCCTGCCCTGTAAAGCACTTTGGTCTGTGAAAAGCGCTCTATAAATACATTTTACTTACTTAGTTTTCCAACGTGTGTGTGTGTGTGTAGGAGCGCCAGTACAGAGAGGCTTTACTAAAAGATGTTTCCGAAGAACCCAGACTGTCCCCAGCAAGAACCAAGACCCAGCGTAGTTCGCATCGTGACGCACAAACCACAACGGGACGGAGATTGGCCCAGAGGAAAACGTCAAGTAGGTTGACATGACTAAAAAAAAAAAAAAAAACACATTGACCCCATATAATATTTTCACCAGCAAAGCCGGTATATATTACTGCTTTACTCAGACGGTGTCTCTTATTAGCAGATGAAATGTTATATGTCATCATCAACCATCTCCATGATAGTAATCCACCTTCAGGCACGTCTGACAGTCAGTTCATTTGTGCCCAATTTCTGATCCATTTAAGTCATTTACGTCTAAAAGAAGTTCTCTATTGAGACTGAGGATTCAGGAGTGCTTGGCTTGACTGTCTTTGCACCCTTTTACATTCTCTCTCTCTCCAGTGAAGGTCAAGGAGAATGAACTTCTTCCTGTGCTCCTTGAGGAGTTGCCCCACCTTCACATCTCCCCCCGCGCCCTGGGTCGGATGTGGGAGCAGCAGATGCAGCAGGTGGACCGACTCCACGCCCTGTCAGCCCCTCACAGCCAGCGTCGAAGCAAACTCTCAAGTCAGGTACGACGACGTGGCGTTTACAAGGGCGGTAAAATGCCGTTTAAAATCTGGACTGACGTGGTGAAAGCCCTGACGGATGAATATGTAAACCTCTGCTTCTCCATCAGGTGGAGGAAGCCCAGAAGAAACATGACCTGCTGGTGGAGATTCTACGTAAAGATAAGGACCACAACAGGCGTCTGGTGAGCACAAACACACATTCAAAAGGTCACCCGGTATAATGAATGTTTGGAGTGTCAAAAACATTGCCCTACATGCAGAGTTTAACACGTGTATATCTTCCAGAGGGATTTCAAAGAGCGCATCCAGCAGCAGAAATCCACCCAGAACCGACTGAGGGACCAGAGGCAGCAGGTAGCCCGAGCAAAGAAGTATCACAGCGACTACCACGTCCAGCACCGCGCCCGCCTGATGAGGGCACGCACCAAGGAGGAGAGGGTGAGTAAGACTCCAGTGCTAGAACGAATAACACGGGTCATTTTATTTATTTAATGTGAGACAGAAAAGGCCCATTGTTTCCAGTGATTAATATGAAGGATTTACTTGTGTTGTTTCAGGTAGTTGACATTCCTCAAGTCCCCGTTTTAAAATATTTGGGTGGAACAAAGAATAACCGTTGTCGTGTCCGTTTTAGATGTTTCGCCAGTTGTTTGAGGAGGGGCTGGAGCTACAGAAAGTCCGGTTGAGAGAGCAGAAAGCCCACGCAAAGGAGCAGCGTCTGGAACATCAGCGACGACACCAGAACCAGATCAAGTCCATGGAGAACTATTATAAAGACCAAGTAGGACTACGAAAAACAGACACACATTAGAACCAGGAAATCAAGTATCGTTTTGAAATGGACTCAGAGGTGCTTGAATTTGCTTCTTCTCTTTTAGTTTTCACTACTTGCTGAAAAACTTTCTGAAGAGCGGCAGGAGATCCAGGTCCGGAAAAAAGCTCAAGAAAAGGTTAATATTTCACAAGTCTTTATTTTAGCGATGCCTGCTGGTCCATACTGGGAAATGTATTGCATGTGCTCAGTTCGCTACTTATTTATTTTTGCCGTTCACAGGCGCTGCTGAAGATGAAGAGAGAGCTGCGCTCCAGGATGGAGCGTGAAATCGGTGAACTGCAGAAGATAATCGTCCAGAACGACGAGGACGACCATTTCCAGGACCTGGAGGTCCAGACGCTGCGCAATCGGGTCCAGATGGCTTCCTTCCAGTACAACACCAGCTATCTGCACTGATCAGGGGGGCGGGGCTGTTTTAAGCTCCGCTTGATTTACATCACAGCAACAGGCCGCAAGAGACTTGTTTCTGCTTTTCACAACTATGGGTACGACTGTCTGGCCCTTGGAGATTTGCACAAAAATAGGAAATTATACAAGTCATTAATTAACTGAACACTCCACAACGTGTAGCTAAATTCCTCCCACCTCAGCTGCTATACAAGAACTTAATGACCGCAGAGTCCTCTTCTTCCAGGTGTTCCTTGATAACGAAGACGGTTTCAAATGGTTTCCTCACTGTGCTGATATTGTAGCAAACAACTTGTGAAATGTTCTCCCTCTTGCCAAATGGGGACAACTGGTGCAAACAAAAGCCTGAATGTCCTACATTGATGTATTTTTAACTCTTAACTATTTTCCCACCTAATGTGTGCAATGTCTTAACCATTATTTATTTTTATGCTTTTATGTTTGATTTTTAAGTAACTGGGTGTTGTCCGATCACCAGGGGGCGATGATAATCAAATCTTTCATGACTGTTTTAACCGATCCAAAGCGTAGCGCTGTTAACGCTGCCCACTAATGTATCTAATGAGCACACAAATGCGCCTTCATCATCATCCATTAAATGTGTGGGATCATAAACTCTTGTGCCTGAAATGACTCAGTTAAAGGTCAAGTGGTTTGCATTATACCATTCGAGTATGCTAATACAATAGACCCAAAGTGAGCATATCAGAGGCCATAATGTATTAATCACCTTTACTTGAACACATGTTCTGAAATTACACAAAGGTGTAAATGATTAAACATTTATTTAATGTCGTCTTACACTTTTAGTATTAAAGTTCACACCTGGAATCAACATTTTATCTGAACCCGGATACTGACATCCCATCTACAAGCCTTTTTATTTACATAATTATCAGATCTCAAAATGGAAATTGGTTGAGTAAATTACACTTGCTTATAAATATTTAGGTTGTGGATCTGTCAACCTAATTGCCAGTATATCCATAAGATTATATCCAATCTGCACCTAGAAACATTTATGCCTGTTAAAGACTTGATCATAATCCTACATGCATTAACCTGTTCAATATTGCTTGGATTGTTCTTTGAGCAGCTGTGTATTTTCTAAAAATTCATGCAGCCTTCTTTAAGTAAGAAATTGAAAAAGTCCTTTGAAAGAAAACTAGTGTCCATGTTCCCTTGGGGAACCGCTTCGGCCTCCTCGAACTAAGTCTTACCTGCCAATTCAAGCATTCTCCCGCCATCATTCTGGCCTTTGGTGTGCAGTAGGTTGGCAGCATCTCTCTTTAGAATCGGATGGCTCTCTGATGTGTGGGTGTGATGGCATCAGGAAATCATGGCATGGTAGAGAGCATCCAGGAGGGTCCATTGTTTGGTCCAGCATAAAAGTAGGAACACCTCTGCTGCTTCAACAGAATGTCAGTCCAACCACCGTAACGCAGCCGTCTACGAGGATTACTGCTGGGCTGAGTCGGCCTCAACGTGCGCCGGGTCTTCTCCATTTAACTGCAAATCGGCTTCAACGTCGTCGTCTGGCAGGTTAGTCCATTTTGAGCGGCTTTTGCAGAAACTGCACGCCTGATTTACCACAAGCTTTAGTCCTTTGACACGTTTTGTAACTGTACATCGTCTGTTGCATTTGCGGCACAAGTTGAACAGCTGAAGGATGCACTCTTCATCAACGATGAACTCTGACGAGCTGAGGCGAGAAGAAATCCTTAGTATGTAGGTTATTTGTAAATGTTTACCTACAGTTAAATCGTCTACACTGGTATTAAATCACGATGGCATACCTCCCCAAATCTACCACGTAGCGTCCATCGGCCACACTTAGCGAGGTGATGAATTCTTCTTGAATATCTGGTTGTGGATCCATTTGGAACGGTTATTACTTTACAGGTTAACAATTTGCTACCGAAGTGAAGGTTGACTCACCTCTATTTTCGAACAGGTTAGTTGTCTTCCCCTCAGCTTGACTCGCAGGTTTTTGACAAGCAGCATCTTTAATTCCAGACTCCTTGAAAATATGAGCGGCAACGCGTCAGCACAACCCAAAAACAGGGAACGTAATTCCATTTAAAAAACATTCAGACACCACAGCTTTACAAGTTCTGAGGTGTCTTGATTTTTTTTGTAAATTAGAGCACATCATGCATGCATGCATGCATGCATGCATGCATGCATACTAGTACGTTCAATGGAAACGTGTCTTTTTTGGACAGATTAAGGGGTGTAGTTGCAGACTGGAAACAAAGAACAAATGAAATCAGCAACATGCCACTTTGCTACAAAATATTAATGTTCTGTGTTAAAGTAATCATGATATAAACAATTATTGATGTGCATGCATGGCAGAAAAGTTATCTGGTGTGTACGGCTTATTTAGATTTTAGGTACATGGAAAGCTCAAATCGCAGAGAATAGGCATTCATTTTCTGTTAATTATGTGACAGACTGTTGGTGAGGACGTGTGTGAGTTACATTTACCTTTCCATTCTCAAATGGATGCACAGGAGCAGCAATCCGCCCGTGATCGGCTGAACTCATCTTTAACTGGTTTACTGATGCACACACCAAACAGAGCAACACACCTAAAGTATCAAAATGAAAAGTGTGCTCAGCACATCATTTCTGTAACTCGTGACTAATGTCGAATGAATGCAACGTTAATTAGATTACAATAATCTAATAATAAAGACAATCCCCTCTGAGACGCAGTGGAGGTATAAATATAAAATAGCAAAAACAGTAAACGTGCCCAAAATGTGAGCGCAATACACGGCAGTAACGTTACATTCAGTTGTGGGTGCACACACAGGCCTCTCACCGGGTCCAGAGCTCCTCTCGAGGGTCGGCGCAGTTAGCTTGTTAGCTTAGCGCCTAGCGTTTACGTTAATAATGTTTCACATTACAGTCTGTCGCAGACGTAAGCTACATGTCCGGTGGTATAGAAGTCGGTTTTAATACCGCGTTGTTTATTAACTTGTTGCCACGTGCTCACTTTCCTTCTCTTAACGGAATAGTTCACGTGAGCGTAAACAGATTTATCGGAAGTTCTGGTCAATGGCCACTAGTTTATTTACCGCGTGCTGACGTCACTTCCTGTGCTACAGGAACAACATTTCACCTGCAAACCAACTGGGATTTTGGACCTTTTCATTTCTCTGACAAAAATAAAGCTTTTGAATTATTTGTCTACATAGAATTGTTATAAATACCTTTAACATATCGTTACCCCTAGTAGAAGTTACTTTCTCATGCATTTTTTTCCAGTTTATTTGTAGTAAAATTGAGTAATTATTCAATTCAGTTAATACAGCATTAATGATTAGTATGTGTCCATTCGTCTAAAATTCTTTGGATATTATCGCCTACAATTTTCTGTTTTGATTTTTTCCCCTCATTTAGAAGTGAGACCATTTATTAAAAACTTTGACACACATAAGAGGACAGAGACAACCATAAAAACACGTTACGAATGCATCACAATTGATACACCACTATGGAAACACTTATATGGCCTCAAGCTCGTCATTGAAACAAATGAAATCATGCAAACGTGTAAACTTACAAAGCTACACGTTTCACGTTGGATGAATCGGTCATGTTCTGAACAATTCCACTCCTTCCAGCCACCAGTCCAAACTGCATTACATTACAGGTAATTTAGCAGACGCGTTTATCCAAAGCGACTTACATTTCACTTTAAACCCATGGCTTTTTCACATTTTTGCCCGGGGAGCAATTAGGGGTTAGGTGTCTTGCTCAGGGACACTTTGACATGGAACATGGGGCAGCCTGGACTCGAACCACCAACCTTGTGCTTCCCAGCACACCTTCTCTAACACCTTCTCTAACCCCTGCGCCACAACGACCCCCATTACAGTACAAAAAATGACAGCACCGTACACGTGGTTCTGTAAAACATAATGCTGTGAGGTCCAAACAGCATAGTTTTATTGCTCAGCTTTCTGCAACGGTACAAGAAGTTTATTACTTTGCTTCTTTATTGTACTTCTGCACAGGTGTCAGTTACACGCTCACAGAGCAGCTGATGTGAAAAACTATGAATACAGTACACTGTAATAATAAATAGAAAAACAGAAATCTCCAATCAAAAGAAATACAACATGGTGCAGTTTAAAAAAACTAAAATATTTTTTTTAATGTCATATTGTTTGGTACTGAATTTAGTCACTTGCGCGCACACGCTTTGTACTTGAACTGCGGAGAGTTGAACATTATAGAGCTTGTTTTGGTTTGTTACCAATCAAACCAGCATCGAACTAAATTATTTAACTGGTTCTAAAATCTATTCAGATCAGCCTAGAAAAAAATCTTTTCCTATCACAGGTTTTCAAGGCATTTGTCTTTCCACTTTTTGATAACTTGCCAGAATGTCAAAAATGTTTGACCAATTTGGCTGCTTTACTGGGAAAATGTGGGATTTCTACCGACAAAACGTTTGCACTGAAGACTGAACCAGCCAGAAAACGTGGTGCCCTAAAAAAGTTACAAAGAGCGGAAGTGGAGTGTGAGCTTGAGAACATACACGTGTGCATATCAAGAAAATGTGTAAATATATATATATATGTGCGTTTTATCTACATGAAAAAAAAACTATCAGCCCATTAACTATTTGGTAAATAGAAGGAAGTGTCTGATTATAACTTGGAGCCCAGGTATGCATAATGTGTGCAAAAAAAAAAAATGTTTAATGCACTTTTAGCCTCAAAGTCAAACAATTAAAAGGTAAAATGAAACCAATCTTATTCAACTGTACAAACATGACATTTCATGTTGTGTTTCTCCATTTTGTCTCATGACAATAAAATGGAAAACAGGTTTCAGAATATCAGCTAACAAATGGTTACAAATAAATGCAGGCAGTACACATACATCTAACTGATTTATCCAATTCAAAAAGACTTCAAAGTAACAATATTGCAAATAAATAGGCTTTATCTTTTCAGCGTCCATGCATGCAGAGGTTTTCTTTGGATGGAGGCTCTGGTCATTGAGCTGTTTTTGGGGACTTTGGTCATTTTGGTTGAACATTTTTACCGTGTAGCACGGGAGTTCAGCGGCACTCAAACTCCAAAAATTTGCAGCTCTGAGGGTTTGAGGCGGCCGACAGCAGTCAGTCCATTATGCTTCTTTTAAAAATCCATGTTGCAACCAGACTGCTCCTGTGCAAATTAAATAACATTGTTGTCTGTGCTGTTTGGAAAGGCCAGTCACGCTCTCCTATGAAGGTATGCAGTGTTTAGTGAAAGCGATAAATATTACTTTAAACTGCCAACATTTAGGCTCCATGATGGGTTTAAAGACACAGCCTCCAAAATATATTTTTCATTATAACCAGATTTTGCCCCCCCCCTCACACACTAGCCTAACAGATGTAAAACAGAAAATAAAAACGTCCCCTGAGAATGCCAAGAGGTCTGTGACAGACACCAACATGCTTGCATTTGAATTGAACAGAAACAAGAAGCCACCATATACAAAAGAGCAATGCATTTGTACATATACACTCAAATTACAGGTGTATAGATACATTTTGCTCTGTATATTTATAATTGAAGTCACGTAGCAAATTAAATGTATTTCATCTAACGGGTAGAAAGCACTCCTGCCATCACTGCTCAGTTTGTAAAGTGCTCTAAAGGGACGAGGGCGAGAGAAAGATACTTACATCTTTTTAAACAGCTTAAAGGATGGGTTGAATATCTTCAACCTGCACCCTTCTGGACAATTGTGCCATTTACCACAATTTGACAAGAAGTATGCGGTGTTGTTTGGAGCTGGATGAAACAAAATAAATTAAGAAAAACATGCATACTTTTAACTGGTGGAGACAAATGGGAGAGGAAAGGAGGGCGGCGCCAGACAAAAAAAATGGGGCCCAACTCTCTCGCGCGTTTACTTGGGGAGACCCTCTCCCCTCCTCCCATGGAAGGTTTAACCAGGCAGAAACCCGTTGACACGCCCTGGGCCCCCCTCCTTTTTTTTTGGGGGGGAGGGGGGGGGGGGAGGGGATACAATTTGCACCTTTTCCTTTCTTTTTTAACAACCCACACTCTTCGACCAAAACACCACAAAACATCAGACCCAAACTACTAGTACGAAAAAGTCTAATCAAGCATTTTTGTAAAGAATCATTTGAATTTGAATGAAATTACTATCGATACATGCCATTTTGGAATGAAACCCTTCAACCATAAATTAATTACAGAGGTAGGACGAATTTGTGGCAGTACTGCAGAATGAAGCACACCAACACTGCAGCCGTGAGGAGTGGAAGTTGTATTGGTCGAGGTCAAGATGGCTAATAAGGGCAGGATATGGCTACCTGCAATGTTAAACATTCAGTAGCATAACAAGGATCAATTCAATTGGAAAACAATATAGTGCCTCATTACTCTCATGCCTAGCGACAGTTTGGAAAACATATCTGTAGAATGTCAATTCAAGTTGATAAACTACTTCCTGGTTTGATAATATTTCAAGTGAGGGGCCGGTGTCGTTTCTGTATCTGAATGCAAAATGAGCTGTCAAAAACAAACCGTGGAAAAGAAGCGCAGCAGCAGTTCTCAGCTAAACAGCCACTACGGTGCTCCTGTTTCTCACAGCGAAACAATTGAAACAATAGAAATGACGGGGGAGGACTCTCTAACAGCTGTTGAAACAGACATCGACAGGGAAAGAATGTGGCGAGCGGGGAGATAAGAGGAAGACTGCAGGCTCTGAGGGAGCCTGTCAGTGTGTTGCAGTGACAATAATAGTCCATCAGAGTCCTGCACACACACACAGAAACAAACACACACACACACACGCGCACGCGCACGCTCTCCAACGGGTCTCTTATTCCACTGCGAAGCCACAGGTCTCCTCGATCGCGGTCAGCAGCTTGTCGTATAGCTTGTCGTAGCTCTCATAGGGCGGAATGTCGATTCGGTTGAAGCTGCAGAACAAAAAGAGTGAGAATGAGATCACGTGACTATGAGCTATGAGAGAGTGACAGGTATTGCTTTAATGCCTGCAGGTGTACGCGACACACACCAGGTATGGGCTTTGGGCAGGTTGTTGGCGTTAGCATCGATCTGATGAATGGTGAAGAGTCTGGGCCCTGCAGCGCCTGCAGTCAAGAAACACAAGGAAGATGCATCAGGTGTTTTTCAGCAGTGCCTTTAACTGCCCAGTTAACTGTAACCCTCGTTAGCAGTAAAAAAAAAACAGATAAAGACTGGAGACTGAAGCTAAGAGACCGGTTCCATACACAGAGACAGATAAGTACCCTGTAGAGCCTTGAAGCCTTGCAGCGGGACTCTGGATGAGCCGGTAACAAACTGCAGCAGCCGGGCCCTCCTCTCCTCGTCAAACGACTCCACGGCTTTCCAAAACCACTTGACGATGTTGCTGTCAGGGGTGCAGTGCTTCAGACGGGTATTGGACTTCCAGTCAGAGATGTCAATCTTTCCCAGGCCACACACTATCAGCTGAAGGCAGGGAGCGAGATAGCAATTTAATTAAGCTTAGACAAGACAATCATTTTATTTCAAAGACACAATAGATGTTTTTCATCTGATTACCTCCAGTTCTTTTTCATCAAAGGACTTGAGTAGGTGTTGAGGAATGACCTCATTGAAGCCTTTCTGCAGAGCCAGAAACTGAGCCTCGATGCCATGCAGGAAACGCCAGTTAACATATAACCTGTAGAGGACATGATGGAGGAGTGAGTGCAGAGTTGGTGTGTCAGTTTATTCAACACTTGAGGGACTGCAAATACAGATTCATCCCTGTGACACGGAATTCATTTTGCGACAGTGATCCCTTGTGTGGGCCGAGACGAAACTCACTTACCTAACATACTCCTTCTTGGTGTCCTCTGACACTGGCACGCTCTTGCCATTGGGCTTGAGCTCATGTTGGATGATTTCTCCGTAGGCATTGTGCTCTACACAGAACGTGTGGTCCAGGACACCGGTGATGTCATTGTCCCTGTTAGAGAGAGAAGGTATGCAACAATAAGGCCTTAGTTGTTGTTGTTTGAGCTAAATTATGAAACACATTTGTAATCTGCAACTCGACAAGTACACTATGCTGGTATAATATGTTTTGTTGGGATTATTTTTATCGACTGGTTCTCTGGAGTTTTATTTGCTGCAATACAAAGGAAAACACAAACCACCAATGATGTGTATTTTTTAGATCAGATGTCATTAGCTTCCCTGGCAAAAGAGGGCGCCACAGTCAATGGACGACAGAATGCTCACATCTGTGTTTGCATCTTCAGTACATGCCCCTGTGCTTTTGGTGTGTACAAGTATGAATGTATTTCATGTCGCTCTTATAACACGGCCCATTTGCAAACAACTACTTTTTGAATGAATTTAGATGATATCACAGCAGTAGCAGTTCAACATGCGTTTCCTCCAACTTTGGGTTGGTTGATTCAAAGAAGTCTTACAGGATCCAGACAAGGCTGTTGTGGAGGTCCGGGTCGACAGATTCCATATCGTCCAATGTGATCGGTTTACCCAACAACTGTTTGTAGAAGGGCAGAGTGAAGCCGCCATCGATGTAGTGGCCGTGAAACACCGCCATGCCCATGATGCGACCCACGAAGTGGAAGTAGGACAGGTGCTCCTGCACGTTGAAAACAGGGATATTGTACATTATTTTGTATTATTGTTCAGTTTTTGCACAATGCCAGAACCGAAGATTAACATACAGGAGAGCAAGACCATTGCTCTTTTAAAAACTCAAATAAAAAACAAAATAAATAATTGCTGTTTTTTGAATGCACAGGAAATTCATCCCATTGGAAGGTTTCTGCTGCTCTTTGAACAAGGCTAGGCATTTTTAAAAGTAAATCATTTCAACATCAAAACCGCTTCCATGGAGAAACAAATGCCCAGTTCTTCAATCTGATCCGTTCTCTCGTAAACATTCTTCGTTTTAATAATGGCGGTATTGGGCAATGAAAACGGAAATGTGAGACTCCGTAAAGAATGTAGTTAGCAGACCAATCGCAGCCTTTGCAAGCACGCAAGGAGGTGTGAAAAGGCACGCAAGGGACACGCAAGGGGGTCTTGCGTCTGCGTCGCTCTGAAAACGCAGAAGCATAAACTAGGCTTTACATATAACTGAGACCGTATAATTCCTACCGGGTTGACAGCAGAGTCCGGGTTAATCTGTAGAGTGTAGATGTCGTCCCTGGAGTACTGGAAGAGGCCGTAGTAGGGGTTGAGCATCTCGTGGGACAGCAGGTATAACCATTCCCTACCACACAAACACGGATTGACTGTAAAGAAATGTACTTCAAACAAGCGTTAAAACATTTTCTGTATTGAAAACCACATAAAAAAAAATTAAAAAAAACATGTGGGTAAATACCTTGCAACCCCGCCATAGTCCAGTCCCTCTTCTCCTCTGAATTTAATCATCAGTCTTTTCCAGAGATCCTTTGGACGCATTTTCATCACCTGCCGGTACGACTCCTACATTTCAACACAAAGCAAATGAAATACAACACATTAGACAAAACAAGAATCTCCATCTCAAAACATGACTGCAATATCAGGTGGATTAATATGCATCTTGACATTCTGCTGAAAAATAATCTAAAGCTAGTTAGTTACATTTCTATGTGCATGCTTCAGGTTTGGAAAAGACTTAAACCTAAAACTAAATAAGTATTACTAACAATACATCTTACTATTAGAGGACCGGTCCCAGTGCATCCTGGTTATTCGGTCATTGCCTCTCTTCATTGTAAGCCCCCTCCTCCCCCCGGCTAGTTAAATAAATCGTTGTCCATTTCCTTTTTGCCATTTCAAGGTCTGTCCTCAGGAGTCAATGCCACAGTAAGCAACATCTTGTCGCTGTAACAGTAACGCTGCCGGAGTGAACGCATGATGGACATGCAGAGTCAGGCTTTAAGATGCTTCTAAACACATGAACATTTCCAATAGTCTAAACTCAAGTTGCACAACATGGGAGGAGAATAAAAAAACAAACAAAAAAAAAAAACGTATGTGCTTAGTGGAAAAAACATTAGAACCACCATTGAATCCATAATGGAATTTACACAGAAAAGCTTTTCATTTGTGTTAATTGAATGTAAAGTGTGGCAAAGAACAAATAAGAAATCAGACTAGAAGCATTTTAAGTACATGCACACATTTGCGTGAACACTCGGCTTGCGGTTAACTGTAGCACCGGGTGCTGCAAGAAAACCCACAGTGGATCTGCAGGACTGGTTTTCACACTTAAATTTCCCTTTCCACAGCTGTCACGTTGAAGGGGGATGAAATCATATTTTTAATTGCTCAACTTGTACTTATGAAGTTATGTCTGGCCTTGAATACTTGCCCCTGCTGCCTTAGCTCCTTTCCTCCCACCCTCCCCCTCTCCCCCATCTCCTTAGCTGCTGAAATCATTCAGAAAGAATGCCTCGCTTTGGTAGAACAAATGATTGGAAGAGCAAGAAAAAGAGAGGCTGAGTAGGGGGAACAAAAGTAAGATTTTTCTTTTGTGCCGTTTTGAAGGCCTTTCTGTTCTGTTTTTCCCTGGAAAACAAAGTGGTTATGAGTGGTGGTTCTGTGCTGCCCCGGGCCCTTTTCTGGCGCACATCGTAAATGGGGTGAAAGAATGCCTGTAAAATGCAAAGATCTTGGTTCGTGGGCATTCTGCTATTGTTTTCATGTTCAGTTTGCATGTCAGCATGTGATGCTTTTTTTTGTTGCGAAAGCCAGATGGTAAATTCTATGAAGCCATATTCAACACACCCTTTAAAAAGAATTCTGCATTTGCATCCATTTAGGCACATGTGTTGACCTTCAACAATCAAACAAGCGTTTCCTTTTAAGTTGCCTCAATTTACTGTGTAAACATTTCATCCTCTATTCAAGTGTGCAGTTGTTTTTACCTCAAATATCTCTTCCCGGCAGACCTCGATGCGGCAATGGCCGGCCTGAGGTTGCTGCTGAGAGAGTTCCTGCCGCAGGATCTTCAGCTTCTGCACCAGGTCCCTCTTGTACTTGGGCACAGTCAAGCACTCTGCCTCTTCAGGCAGCTGGGCCGGGGACAGAGCTGGCTGGGGGACGCAGGGACCACTTTGGTCCTTCGGCTGAGTCGGGTGACTGGAGGGAAAAATTGGTTTCAGAGAACAGTCAAGGAGAGATTTGGGAGGAGAAGTGCAATCGAACAGATGGAGGGAAATGGACACGGTGTGAAGGCGCCGATATGTGGCGAGAAAGGAAAGTACAGGGAGTAACATGTCACTACGATTCACCATTCATTTCAACAGTAAGATGAAACAGTTTGACCTAGGGAGCTCTTCTATTTTTATTTGGTGCATTTCAGCCATTTACTGTCATGAGTAGTACGTTTATTTTCATGGATTCTGCTTTGAAACCCCTTGAGGAAACCCGTATCCAGCATGAAGGCGAGAAATGTCCAGAAGGGAAATCCCTAACCCCTCCATCTCAGATGTCCTCTAACCGCGGAACTAGGATGTTTTTTAAGCACTTCCCACTGCAGCCCTCACCCTCCTCACCCCTCTAAACAGAGCCCGAAGCCCAGACTAAATCTGATCCAGACCTGTGGACAAGCTGGGCCTTAGAGCAGATGTTTGGTAAATATCCCCAGCAGGAAAGACCGAACAAGAGAGGAAAATAAATATACAGGAGAGCAGTGTAAGAGCAGCTGGCCTCTCTGGCTAACTAGTGTTCTCTTCCAGATAAATCAATTCAACAAATCCGACTTTAGTCATTTTAACTCCACCCCTAAAACCATCACTCTAATTGTCAAGCACAAAGAAACTGACCGCCAAGGTTGATTAGACGTCCCTGCCCACAATTAGAACTTCCATCATCAGACCACTGGAGCTGCCACCCTTCCTCATACTTTGAGGTTAAGGGACTAAAAACATTCATGGAAACTTCCAGTCCTGCTCCCGCGGATTAGCACAAACATTAAAGGTGCCCTCCGCTAATAATACTCTAATAAATATAGATTCCAGCCACCACTCTTGAGTTTATGTTTGCCTGCCTTGTTTTGCAATTTTCACAACCAGAGTAAGCATGGAAGTTTCCCTGTTGCACAGCTGGCTGAGGAACTAAACTCAAGGAACTTAGTTGCTAACCTTTATCCCCCGCAAGGCCTTTATATTCTAAAACGAATGAGACAACTATAAAATACAACCTTAGCCACAGGGGACCACGATCAATGTTCTAGTCTCCTCCAGCACTCATTGTGGTGTTCGTGGTGGGATGCCTGGGTGGGCCTCATAAAAACATAATCTGTCCCTCCCTTCAACAGGACAGCAGCCCTCATTTTCCTGTGAGCAGACGCTGAGCCAGCAGAGGATTTCGTTAAAAGGAGGTACTGTCCTCTGCTGGGAGTGGAGTGGCGAGGCTGCCGTTGGCCAAACAAAGACTGAATTGGTGTATAAAAAGGAAGGAGAGACCTAAGGTAGCAGTACATAGCCAACTACTTATTCCGACACTTGTACATTTGAGATCTCTGGTTCAGTCGGTTGGAAACGGCCTCAACTATTTGGGCTTTCCAAACTAAACGGGTTGCAGTGTTTTCGCCAGTCTATCCCTGTATAATCAAGTCTGCTGCTATTTATTTCATTGGCAGGCCCTGGGACTCCTAGCATGTCAAATAAAGGGTAAGACTGAAACACTGCAGTCCTGAAAACCACTTTAGGAAGGAGGTTAAGAAAAGATGGCCTTAAAACAAAATTGAATGAGTTGCTTTTGGCTGAGAAGCCGAAGAACCATATAATAAAAGCAGAATTTCAGTGCCCTTTTCCCCATTCTGTGGGCACAGTGCAATTAAAAACACGTTTTGACATAGTTGCTCGTCTCTGGTTTCCAAACGGGGCGAGCTGTGCATATTTGAGGGAAAGCACAGCAAAGCTGAAAATCTGCCCGAGCCAGAATAAAAAAACGAGTCCCATTGGTTTGACAGCCTGAGTAAAATACTACTTGAGGTGAAATATAACGTTAAAATTCAATGTCCGAGCCAAAAGGATGTTATAATTGTTATTCCAAGGTGGAAGGAGCGGAAAGAAAAGAAGCCGGAGAAGACAAGAAATGGAGTGAACATTTTCCAGAACGGAGTCAAATGCAGAGTCACGATAGTCCTCTTACTCGATTAGCAGGGGGGGCAGACTGGGTGTGTGTTAGGTGGTGAGTGCATTGCACCTAAGTGGATGCTTGTGTGTGAGTGTGAGAGTGAGAGAGAGAGAGAAAGTGTACTGCTTAGCAAATGCAGCGGTCACCGGTGGGCTATAATGAGTGTCGAGTAGGTGTAGGGGTGTTAAAGTCACACCAACGCTCCCACCCAGCCTAGAGAATCAAAGGGCCCTTTATGAGGATCAGCTGTTCGGGTGCTCTTTTATACACAGAGGTTGGCCAAACTTTACAGAACACGAAGTCAAAATAATTCAGAATAATTAATTACGTTGAGTATGTAATTACTTATTCGACAATGTTTGTGTTTTGCTAATAAATGTGTGACCTTTAGCATTCTTCTTCATTCCCAGATACACAACTTCCACATCGACAGCTTCAAATTGGTTAAATAAAAGAATACAGAAGTACAGAAAGCTAGCAGCAGGCAGGCTGCAGTGATGAGACTGGCTTTTGACAAAGACGTGTTGCAAAGATTGGACACTTTGCAGAATGTTTACATTTCAGGGATAATCAGCTGTACTTTGAGCGCCAGTTAGTGTAGAGCAGTTAGAGCCGACTACACTGTGCAGTAAATTGTGCAAATAAAACACCAGTATATTTCCGTTGGCATGGATTTAAGATTTCAATTAACCAGACCAAGGCCCTGGACTCCTATACAGACAGTCCTTTAATACAACACATGCAGACAGATTTACCCTGCTGTACAAATACACCGTTTAGATTGGAATTTATTTTACCATCAAGTTGCATGTGAGAGATGTTAGAAAAGTAGTCTATGCAAAATACTGTATATATTGCGCGTGCGTACACACACACACACAATAATTTATACATCTATATTTATCTCCCCCATTTTAAATAAAACACAAACCCATAATGTCCAATGTATAATATATAATCATCTTCTTCTCTTCTAAAAACATCAATACAAATGTTGATATAAATGTCATCACGATTTATATCTAGGTCGGGAAAATGTCTGCCCACTAAATCCAAAAGCAACTAAGAATACCTTCTGCAAACACTGATCTTTCAAACATATACTATTTGCTGGTGCAAGAGCGGAAGCAAAGTACGTTAGAGACAGTGTGGCAGACCACAGTAACGTAGCCGTGTCTGACTGACAACCCAAGGCCTTCATTAGCCTCAGGTCGGCAACGGGTTCGTCTGAGTCGCATTCGAACCGGGATGCGAACTGCAGACTCACGATGTTGTAAACCATGGGGCATGACACAAACATGCACCCGCTAAATGAAAAACACTGGGTTGAGGGATACAAAGGATAACCCAAAAGTGTTACGGTCTGTCCCCACCCAAAAACAACGTTTACCTCTTCTGAGCACACGCACTGCATGTGTGAACAGGCTGCTGACCTGTGCGTGCGGTCAGTGTAATTCTGCTTGCTAATGTTTCAGTTGGGCGTGCTGTCAGTATGTCAGGTTTCTAGGAGTTTGCCAGTAAACAATCCTGCATTATATCGCTTTGTTGTTGAGGCCATTTAGCACACCCAATAACATTTCAAAGGCTTACATTCAAATTGGGTTTTTAGACAACAGCAGCCCACTAATCTATTTATGGCTGCTCTGAGGCATATTAACTGTTTTCATTAGTATTTGATCACTTTAGACTTTGAATACATGATACATTTCTCTTCTGAAGGCCAAATGAGTATATATACACTTACTTTACTAATGTTTCCTGGGTATTTGCCATTGCACATGTAATACTGTGACATGGGCTGTATACAAAGTGTGTTTGAATACGTTTTTCTCAATCACCGCGTATCACGGAAATCTGCATTACAAATTGGCTTTTTAATTTTGAACTTTTAAAAGTTCTTTTAACTCCCTCAAATGTCTCCTAATAAGGACTCAGACAACCAGTTAATGATGCCAACTGGATAACATAGCTGAGCTTCAACTCACCAGCAGAGGCTGGTCTGACACATATGGATACTATTTGACCAAATGTTGATTTCCCAAACATGTCTGTCGTGCCAGCTGCTGTTATTGAAAGGGGTTTTGACTAAGAATTTGCACTAAAAATCAAAAGGGGGAAATCACATATCTTTGTGTTCCTCTTGTTAGGGTTAGGGTGATTCCTCCTACGCACACTGGCAGGCAAAAAGGGCGGGCAGCTCACTGACAGTCAAAATATACAAAAAACAAGCGTAGAATTCAGTTTGCATTACTCACCTGTTCCTTACATACAAATATAACAACTGGCTGGTTGTCATTTTGTCTAAACTGCGCAGTAGAGGAGCAAACACACTGGTGAAGTATTTATCCTGGGTTTGTCCGGCAAGGATATGGAAAACCGCTGCTAAGCTAACAACTGCTGTGAGAACATGAGTTTAGTATTATTTTCCAGAGTGGGGTCAGCCTCACCGGGCCTTTCCACCGGCTGAGCTGCCTACAAGATTATCTTCAGTGGACTGATCGCCTAGAACAGACATTCAGCCAGCGTGTGTGTGTGTTGTACTTTAATGACATCTACATGAATGTCAACACTGAGGAAGGTTATGCATGTATATACACAATGCACGTGAGACATTAGCCTGAGATATTACCCTGAGGAAAAGTATCCCGGTCAGCATATTTTCTAAAAGGCTAAATGCATGTGTGTGAGTGTGTGTGTGTTTCTGAGAGGAGCTTTGGGTGACCTGCTGCTGAAATGCTGAAACGCTGTTTTATACAGACGGCTGAGGCGAGTGCATGAAAACATCTGTCAATCTGTGTGCATTTACGAACACACATGCAAGTCTGCACGAGAGTGTGAGAGTGTGTGTGTCAGAGAGAGAGAGAGAGTTACCTTAGATTAGTGTTTTGGCTGTCCATGGCCACACGGGAACCATTTGGACTTGGGCTGCACGAGGAAAACAATTTACATTAGTAAACTAATGCTCTTTTTAGAAAGACAGATACGGTCTGTCCTTGAAAACACGAATGCAAGCCGCCAAGGACGTCCTTGAAACTCCTGCCCTGAGCGATGATTTAAACACTTACTTGAGCACACGATGCAGGTTAGCAGAGAGTCGCGGGTCCGTGAACTGTGTCGTTCGATTGTTGTGGTCGACAAAGTAGACGCGACCTGTTGCGGTGTTTCTGATCTCCCAGCCTGGTGGCAGCGGACCCAGCTCCTCACAGTTCACATTGCTCAGGTCCCTGAACAAAGACAGCGGAAAACATTAGAAACAATGATACAGGTTTTTACTGACATTCCGGTCAGAAAAAAAACTACGCCCTGATCTGGGACGCTGCTGTAGCCTGAGGACGACCTGGGACTGTGTCTATGTGTTCATGTGTAAGTACTTTGTCCTTGCGTGAGGACACATCACTCAGGGACCAAAGCACATGCCTCGCTGCACTCATCACAACATAGCGGGTCATTTTAGAAGCGCTGTCCAAAATGACCCAACCCAGAGGTTGCTGCTGTGGGCTGGATGTTAAATGCATTTGCCTCATCCCCAAGCAGCAGATTCACAAAGACACGGCCAAAAATGTGACGCAATAGAATCTTCAGTGAATTTGGTAGTGGGCTATTGAGAGTTGGTGTAACAGTTTGATTGAATGCAGAAACACAAGCCATTGGGGCGTTCAGCTCAACCTGCGTCTGAAAATATTCATCAAACTCCACGTTGGGTTCAGAGCAAATTAGTTGGGCCGACTGGGACTCGAGCATAAAATGTGATTTGGAAAAATATTTTTGGAAACAAGCCTGAGAAATTAAATAACCAATTAGTTCCGATCTAGACCAGTTAAGTTATCTTTGGTTATATATGTCAAGCTTTACAATAGGCTGTCATTTATCATGTGTTTGAAAAAAAAGGTGTAGCTGAAATAAATATGCTAACTTGAACAGCTTCTAATAACATTCTTGAAAATTTGTGTATGTGATGCTTTACAAAAATGAACAAATCTGATCTATAAACCTGGAAAACAAAAAGAATTTACCTCGGCACCCGAGGGTCGTGCCAGGTGCTGACTCCAGTCTGTGTGTGGAGAAAGTAGACTTGACCCTGCTGAGTGGTTCTTTGCTCTAAAACAGAGAGAAGATTACTTTTAAACAGACAGGCCAAATAGCACAGATTTAGTCTTGTTGCCGGAGCCTTTATGTTGTCTAGTGGCGTGACACGCATGGACAGCAAATTTCTGTTGTATTTTGGAGAAGAGGAATTCTGTTATATATAATTGATGTGACTGGCAAACTGCAGGAACAAATATTTGTCATGGTGAGCCCCAATGTGATCGATGGGTTCCCCTCCAGTGGGCCTCTACCGAAAGGATGGGAAGGTAAAAGCGCAAGGGAAATTCATCAAAGACTTCCATGAGTGTTTTTCTAATATATATATATATATACCATACCAATCCATCACTGCCCCTACTTCCTACTGGCACAACTCATTTCCTACCCACATCTCCCTTTCTTTCTCCCTCTCTCACGCTTGCTCACCACACCCAGCCACTGGTTCAGAGGGTTTAAGCTGAAGAAAGCTCACTAGCTGTTGGGCATCAGTGACTCACTTTGTCCGACCTTGGCCAACCTCAGCCGACACAACAGGACATTTCAACGAGGCCATTCAATAGTGCCACTCTAAATCACTGGCAAAGTGAACTACTGTTAAAGTAATTTAACATTAATTTCTTTTATACACTCTGTGGGTATTGTGGGCTGCACTGTGGCTGACTGCTGAAAGCACACTTGATGCATTCCAAAGTTGGACAACGTAGTTGTGTTGCTTCTGAATTAATTTCCTCGATGTGTTTCCTTGCCATAAGTAAAGGAATTACAGACATAAAACCCCCCACAAATAACCTGAAGTGCCTTCTCTGAGCTAAACACAGAGCTATGAATACCCTGCTTCCCGTCTGTCTCCTCACTGTTAAATTATCAGTCTGGTAGGAGAGGCGAGGGCAGGGAAGGAGAGAAGGAAAGGAGCGGCACAAAGCAAGCGTTGATTGCAGTTGTCACAATGTGGTGTTGTGGTAAGGGTGAAGGGAGGTGAAGGGCTGCGAGAGAAAGTCTGAGTGAGCCTAAAGACAGCAGACAGACCAAAAAGAACGAACAAAAGGACCGAAAAAAAAAATGTTCTCAATATCACTTCCTCCAGGCTGCAAAGAAGACACCACCAAAGGAGCATCCCACCATGTCTTTGATTGCTTATTTCTGTGGGTTAGGGCTGGGACTTCATCTCAGCTTTCCTTATTTCTATCACTCACACAGGTAATTAAAAAGTTCACTATGACTACAGAAAACACTCTAATGTACCAGCTGGCACAATGCATTGTATTTCCCTGAACAGCCACCTCGACTACCAGCAGGATGACCCTTTGTATTGAAACATTTTGTAATAACATTTATAATACGGGTACATGAAATCCAGCGTCCTGATTGGTTGATAGTGAGTCACGCGGGGTACATTATTGAGCGATGATGCTCAATGAATGAGATGGTGCGAGATCTTGCAAAGAGACCCAATGCTGTTTACCTGCACGTATGGGGACTATTTTTCTCTAAACTACTGAAATGCGATACACAACGTTTGGTGGCTACAACTATTTTGTGCTTAAAAGGCAGCAATTTACTATCCGTTTATAATTTCGCTGCTTGTAACAGCTCACGTGGATAGCGTCAACTATTCACATGCTTCTGACCTTCAGCCAGCAAACACACTGCAAAACGTTCCACAAAAGACACAAGAACAGCTACATTTTGTGAAATGCGGAGCAGGAGGACAAAATGCAACAATTTATAGAGAGCATCTCTTCCTATTTCACAAGCTTGAATACATGGTGATCAGACAGCGAAGTGAGCGTGTGTGCTGCAGCTCGGCCTCTCACCATAACCCTCGGGCAGGTCGGGTGGGGTATGCAAGTGTGTTCGACTCATGTAGTTGCGATGGCGCTGCGATCGAACCCGTCTCTCCTGGATCCGCTGTTCGCCGGGCGGGCAGCTGGCCTCGGCCCCGTTAACGGGCGTCATCACTGGCGTGTTCTCGTCCACCACACAGCTCAGCGGCCGCCCTGATGGGCTGGAGTATTCCGACGCTGGCCTGGGTGAGAGTAGTGAGTGGGTATGTTCAAGTAACAGATGTGTAATCTGCTAAATAAATCTACCTCACACATTTGACCATTTCTTAACAAATCAGAAAAGAAGCAACACTTAAAACTTTGAAGAGCATTTGGGTTAAACGTTCTTCCTGTAAACTGGATGAAGAAATTATTCCTAAGAAATTAAATGTTTTAAATACTGTTTTTGCCAGTTTATTTGTACCTGTGATGTCTAGACATCCACACAAGTATAGTGTAAATATGGGATTACAGTAAGTGTCATCATCCTATAAAATAGATTAAAGTGTTATGAAGACTTATGGGTTGCATGAAAAGCACACAGAAAGTTCTCACAATACTACTTTTAAGCGGTACTCAACTGCAGCACCTACAAAAAACAATCTGATATGCTCACTAATACTGGTGTGTGTGTGTGTGTGTGTGTGCGCGCACGTGTCTCCACTGTCGGGCTTTCAGGAGTTTCTATCTGCTAGACTCTTTGTTTTAAAAAGGTTCCGCTTGTTGAAATCCAAGTGCAGTGTGTGTGCGTATGTACCTGGTAGGTCTCTCCCACTGGGTGGTGCGGGTGATGTGGTTCAGGTACTGGATCCTTCCGGAGGCTGTCCTCCTCTCTTCCCAGCTGTTTCATGACAGAATATTAAAACGTGTGAGATACCAACATTGTGCTTTTATTAAAGCAATGTACCCTAGTTTTCATTATAAACATGTTAGTCAAACTGCGCTGTGAACGGTGTATTCTTCATTTAAAAAGCAGAACAAAAAAAGGGAATCTCCTGAACCTAAACATCAAGGAGCGTAAGGGAAAAGAATTATACAAAAGATTCTCCTCGAAGCAGATTAAATTATACTTGGTAAATTGGTTAACGACTAGTGTTGAATCCCGTTTTTCAGAAAATCACAGGGAAGCTAGCCCTTAAAGATGGTTCCATAAAAACGGGATACATCAAGAAAAGAAATAACAATTTGTGTGCACAATTAGGATCAGTCCTTTTTGAATAAAACATGTGGTAATACTGACCCATCGGGTAAGTCATTGTCGAACAAACGACTGCAGTCCACCACCGGCCCTCCTGTCCCGATGCGGTCTCTGGACTGAAGACTTACTACAAAGTTAACAAAGACGAGGACGACAACGGATCAATCTCATTTTCTCTTTCATTATCTGAGCAGCATTATATGAGTAATATTTAATTACTATCATTATGCATTAGTTGATGGTATGTGGTAGCCGGCTTTACTGATGATTTGGCTATATGTTGTGTTCTTATTTCTTTTCTCATCTGACATTGAAACAAAGGACAAGACAAATAAGAATATGAAATATTTCCTTTTTTCAAATAAGCAATAAAGTAATATACAAATATAAAATAAAGAGTCATGTATTGAGATCAAGGATGCAGTCTGGGTGAATTTGTCTTTTTTATTGTTTAAATAATAAAATGCTCAGTTAACTCTTGCAAGACACGTTATAGTGCTAAAAAAAATTAGTATTATTTTGTTTAAAAAGTAAACTGCAAATTTCATTCAAAGACAAACTGAATGTAGACCAGAGCATCAGGAATATGAATTGTAGACCGATAGAAGACTGCAAGTGGCTCATCTTTCTCACACTTGAGAACGATATTCTATCAAGCCGTACAGTAGTGTGTGCGTTTGTGTGTCTTACCGACTATTTGACCTCTCACAGTATCATTGTCATTGGGGCCCAGCTTATTCATGTCCAATCTCTGATCTACAGGGGGGGAAAAACAACCACTTATTATGCATCTAAGCAATATTGAAGAAATACATCAGAATACTCTGCAGAAGAGACGACGCCGAAGCAGTTTGTGCGTAAGATTTAAAAAATTGGACACAAAAATTCAAGTTTGGAAAGAGAATGTTTTCACACTGCCAGACAGCACAAAAACACAACCCAGGAAGACTCAGGAGATCCAGACACAGATAGACTCAGCAGTTCCTGCACCCCCCTCCCCAACAACACACATACACACACACAAAAAACCTAATCAGTAGGTAGAGGGAAAGGAAATAAAGAGGCAGTGAGTGAGTGGGGGGGGGGTGGCGAGATTTTGTATGTAAAAGTGTGTGTGTGTGTGTGTGTGTGTGTGTGTGTGTGTGTGTGTGCGCACACATCTGTTTCAGATACGTGTCTAGACTAAATAGGGATGGTCTAAGCCTTACATGGCTGGAAGAGCAAGCTGATTTTTCTCTTAAATACAAGAAGGAAGAATCACATGCAGACATTTACCCACAAGCCCCTACTGCACCACTCAATTTCTCAGGGGTTGCTACAATGAACAAACCACATGAAATACTGTAAATATAGTATCACATAGCACATTTGTATCCGTGTATGTCGGTACGTATTTAAAACCATAGACAATATCACAAACAGCAAATAAGTAAATATTTTTAAAAAGCCGTTTAACGCTGCAAATATTACATACAAATAAACATTAGGGATCAAAATGGGGCCAACTAACTTGTGTAGTCAGGAGTCATCTTGAACATTTTGTGGTGCGTGTCTTTGTGTTATTGAATTTTTGGGTTCAGAAGTAGGACAAAGGACTCAAAAGGTTTGTGTCTGCGATCTTGCAGGAAGTGGAGCTCAGTGACGAGCCAGACAGACTTTTAGTAAGACGTTCATGCCTGAGACACTTTTGGTTTGCGAGCGTTTGTCTGTGTGTGTGTTCCTGTGCCCGCAGGAGTTGAACACGACTTCTAGGAACCAGTAAAGTATTGTTTTGTGCATTTCTATCTTTATATTGTCTCCCTGTGTGTTTGCGTGATTGTGTGTGCATGCATGTGTGTGTGTGGATCTTGGTCAGACCACAGACTGGATGTAATGTGTGTGTGTGTGTGTGTGTGTGTGTGTGTGTGTGTGTGTGTGTGTGTGTCTGCTCACACGGGACAAAAACAGTAATGTGAGCGCCGGTGTCTTGTCTTAGATCATAAACTGTTTCGCTGTCCACTTCCTGAGACTTTGAAAAAGTATACATTTATACCAGGTTGGCTGTACAGTAAGTGGCTGGTCTGGCGCCCGACTGGAGCCTATACTGTCTATTCCAGTAAGCTATATGTGAATCTAAGGACAAGTCCTTTTAGCACACAGGAGGGTAAAAGCAGGCCCCAGACCCGTTCTTTTTGGTGGATTAGGGCGTGAATATTAAATTATTATGTAAGAGTGTAATTTAGGAGCAAACATACATAATATGTATTCTTATTTAAAGTATTTCCTTTTGGGGATTTGGCATAGGAGTATGTTGCATTTGGGTCAACCAAATTAGAAACTGACTACATTCCCCGGGGTCTCCAAATATGCAGTTTGGATATAAAAAAACAAACATCAAATAGCAATTAAATACAACGAGACAACTCCTTTAGTGGTTGTGGGTTGTGACTAGAATGGAGAGATGGAAATGAGAAAAATGTAACACATTGTGGTTGTTCTGGTACATTCTGAAATTGTTTTTGTTTAGAACGGGTCGGGAACGAGGTTGGAAAAAAGGGAGTAAACTGTAGCAAATACTGTCAAACTAACATTCTTTTGCACATTTAAGTATATATGTCAGCATAAAGTTACTGGTACATGTAGACAGGACTAACAAGCATGCGATCATGTGAACTGCACACAGAAAATAGGTGTCAAAATCAGTTGGAAAACATAGAACACAACACGAGAGCTGCAGTCTGAATTGCAGACATGAGATGAAAACATTTGAGAATCCTTCTGTGCAAATTGTTTGCTTGTATGTATGCCACCCTACACTAAAACTCCATCCCTTTTCCCTCTTTGCATCTTGTGAAAAAAAGTACTAATAAGTATATCCGCAGGAATTTGTTTCCAAGAAAAAAAGCTTTCTGCTTCTTGACAGTTTTTATTTCTGTAAAAACAAATTGGGGCTGTTGATTTAGTCCCAGATGCCAGATGTCAACAGCAGGCAATATTTCTGATATGTGTGGCCTAAAGGAGTTGAGTTTTGTGCCTATAAATCTCTTCGCAATGAAAAGCTCGCCCGAAAGCAGCAGCCGGCCGCAAGTTGAGTTTGGGACCGTTGAGAAAGCTACACGTCAATCTGCTGCTGTAAGACAAATAATAAAAGCACAGGAAAGGTTCCTTGAAAGAAGTTCTTGTCTGTGGTTGGAGACACTACGTCTTGCCCACATAATTGTCTATCTGACTCAGTCTGCTGAGTGCAGAATAAGGGTCCACAGATGTTTGAAGAGAAGTTAACGCGCCACACTCAACCAGTTATTCATCAATTAGTTCTGTATTTCCCATTGAACCTCCCCATTACTCTTCTCTACCAAGTCAGACTTGCACCACGGTAAAGCGTGCATGGTAAGCATGCAGACGGAGCATGAAGAGACCAGCCAGTACTACACAGAGTAAGCACACAACAACAACAACAACAACAACAGGTACTTACAGCCGGTATCTTTGAGCCTGTTGATGGCGTTGGACAGGAGGCGAACACAGCCGAGGAAACCTGCGCCCTGCTTTTTGTGGATCTTCTTGTGGTTCCATACACTGATGGTTATTGAGTCGGCCTTTCCGATGTATCTGACAGAGGACGAGAAGAAGTGAAGGTACAGTTAAGGAGAAGTTAAAAAAAGTATATAAAAATAAACTTTTTGGACTCCTTCCTACTAATTCAACTTGACAGCAAGAGAACTATGCACACTATGTATGCGGCGTAGACGGTCAGGTTGTGTAATGAGGTTGATTAGCTGATTTAAAGTACTGTGTGTACATGCTTGAGTGTTTGTGCAGATTAAGCGCAGCTGAGGCCCGTCTAGCCGTGGTTGGAGAACAGAGGAAGTCCCCCTGATGGGCTACACCACTGTCTGAGCAGTGGTTCGACACTCAATGCAGTCACATGCAATTACAGCCTAGCAGCCAGCACCGAGGCAAAGGTCTATATTATGCTGTGTATCCCTAACGAGAAGTGGGGTTTCCCTACGAAACACGTCAAAACATATGTTCTCAGTAGGCAAGCTAAATCATGGAGTTTGGATATTTTTTGCTCTGAAATGAAGTTACAAGCAGTGCGAGTGGTGGATTATTTTGTGTGTCCAGGCATTCAGTCTGTTGTTGTAATCTTGGATCTGATCAGGATGCAGTAGCAGGAGGTTAGGATCTTGGCACGTTCACCATCTCACTCTTGGCCGGCGCAGATCCGTCTCGTCATGTGCTTTGATGCTTGTGTAGATTGGGATTTACTAAAATTTACTAATTTACTAAGATGGTTTTCCGCAACTGAACTTTCTATTTGTCTCTCAAACAACGCTAGATAATTAGTGAATTAAAGGGTTTAGATATTTACAAAAGGTTTGTCTGTTGCCATTGATGAGATCCCTTTTGAATGAGCTCTGCAAACTAATGCTTTCAATTCCGTTCCATACAATTTGTGTGCTGTGGTGCAATTCAAATGCGCTTTCTGAGCATATTATAGGGTTTAGTCTCACGCGCTTCTCTTCACACAGTGTAGCTGTAAGATTAACAGGTCAATGTGCTGCAAAGGTGTGGTCTGCAAAGCATTTAGGAGCAAAAAAAGACGGAAGTGAAACAGCCAACTAGACAATGGTCGAGTGTCTGAACGAAAGAACAGGTTAAACATGTTAATTCCTCACTAACAATGACTGTGCCAAAACTTGTGCTCGAACATAACATTGCAGATACTGAGGCTATTATTCTAACACCGCTATCGACAGCAGAGGACTACCAAACGGAGTGGGTTTAAAAGCAGATGGTCTGCAAAATACTGGATTGACTGTGACTCCCTGTTCTCTATAGGTGGTTGGTGTTGCTCTGAAAGAGTATACTTGGTATGCAAACTTTACCCAGAAAAAGACCAACTGGACCTCCTTTCTGAGCAGAACTGCTGTCCAGAGCTGTCGTACCAGTTCTCACGGTGTGACTAACATCCCTTATGGCTGTGTAGTTGTGGAGAAAAGTTAATCCCCATTATTTGCATTCAAATGCAGAAATATTCTCCATTATTCGGTCATAAAATGTCTAGGCTTGGATTTGGAAAAGGACATTTTTTGCACGGCTCGACACTCAAAGGAGGTGTCAACTAAAATATTATGGGGCGGGCTCTGAATAATAAAATTCTTTCCAAGTAAAAATAAATAATCCCCCCGTAGTATGAATATACCCCTGAATATTATGTTGAATGTAATAGGGGAAATTAAAGTAATTTATTTCCAGATCATTTTACGACATTACATAAGATATGAATTAGAAATTAATAAATAGTGACATAATGTAAGCCATTAGATTCATATTTTTCTTCCCCTTGTGAGTACTGCTCAAGATTGAAACAGAACAGTATGTGCAGGATTCCGTTGTGTTCTTGGCATGCTCCTTTTACTATTCATGGTGTTAAATTATTCAATTTCCACCACTAAGTCCACTTTGTCCAGAAACTCTCATTCGATGCTGCTGGTTGAGCACAGAGACCACACAATTTAAAACCATTCCTCTACATCTCCCTCACTCCATCCCTCCCGCACGCACTTCATAAGGTAGTTACAGCAAAAACAAAAGTAAGGATTAACCCTCCTAATCCTGCAGACAACAGCAGGGGGTGGGGGGTGGGGGGTTCTTGGGTCATACTCAATCCAGACTTGCACAACTTCCCATACTTTTGCTTGCCAGGGAACGTACGTTGCATTGGGATATCACAGAACATTTATTTTCGGGTTGTATATATTTCATATCAATGTTGGACGGCCTTCAGGTGTTAACATCTCTGAGACAAAAATAAATCAGAGTGGAGTTTCTACAGTTCTGGCTCATCCATATCAAGTGTCTTGATCCGATTTATGTAAATTGAGTTCATGCCAAAGCATTCTTCCTAGATTCCCTCGTTCCTTGCCGTTACATTGAGCCGACCATCCCATTTCACTTCTGCCCCTTTAGGACACATGCTCCCCCAGACGTTTCCTGTCTCTCATAACAGAAAATTGCAAACACTTAAGCAAACACGTCACTAAAAAACAGTACGATAGCTTCTGGCTGCAATTGAGGTATGTCTGGCAGTAGAGCCTCTTGAAGGAGGCTGAACCCTTGCTGTCAGTTCATGACAAAATAACTAATAAATATCCAACCAAACAGTGCCGGTTTCCAATAACAGAGTAAACAGCTGGCTCTCCTTTAGAATTCTGCCGTGTCAACCCATGCTTTTACTTTCCCGACTACCAGAAGACGACAATGTCACGTATGTAATTACGGTTTAACGTTTACTGGATGACCCAGTGTCACGTGACAAAATAGACCCCACCAACTAAAGCGGAAAGCGACTTGGCCATCGGCCAATCCCACACTCCCCTCTGCTTTCTGTGGCATGTTCTCCATTTCCTGAACCAGAGGAAGAGGCCAGGGGTCGCTGGAGGGAAACGAGCTCCTCCAAGTGGGTGGGGATCGAGAAGGAGGTAGTGAATTATGTAAAAGAGAGGATCTGAGGTGAATGTTGACAGTGCACAGGCAGCCTTGCGAGACAGGTGGGACTGTGCGCGCGCGCGTGTGCGTGTGCGTGTGCAGAAAACCATGCCACAATTTGCAAGGCACATGTACAGTCCAGTGTTTCCCCTACCATTATATATTTCTTAAAAAGACCAGGCAATTCTTCATCTGCCAATAGACAGACTGATGACATAACATATGGCTGCTCTCGTCACCTCATTATTTTAGCTGCCTTTCTCCTAAATAATAAAATTAAAAACTTGATTTCATTATTTTTAAATCTGTCTAACATTATAAAAATTATTCATTTTACTTCCCAAGCACAATTTCCTTAATAGCTCTAATTTTCTCTCGAAAATGTCCAGCTCCTCCAATCAAGCTATCTTTTTCCTAAGTTCCCTCCTCTTACAATGTTTCCTTCCATCTTTCAGGAGTAGATTGGCTTGGCTGCCAGTGGGTCCCTTTTAGTTGGAAGTTTGTGTCAGCTCATCAGCACGGGGATGTACTGTTGTCGTAACTTTTCTCAATGTAAACATCTAACAAAACGTGTTTTTCTTCTGCATCACTTCTGGTTTTTGCCATGGTGCTATTCATAGATTTGTAATAGTACCATATGCTTCACTCCAAATGTGTCTTGCGTTGGCTTATGTAAAGAAACATCTGGCTCAGAAAAGTGGAAAAAAATCCAACAATCTCCAAATTACAGAGGATATTGTTCTGAGTGCTACTAACCAATTAGCAAACTCCATCTTCTAACCCCCAAAGGATGAATCTGTTATTTGACAAAGAAGGAATTCATATCAGTATGTGTTGTGCTGTGTTGTTTTCCTAAGAAATGTTACAAGCGAATCAACATTTGCCAGGGTGAGGTATGGAACGTCTATAATCTCACTCAACAAGATGTTTTGTTCACAAATATAACCGCTCAGAAGCTTTAGAGACAGGTGTCTCTGCACACAGTGACGGGACGACTCAATCCGCATTCCTTAAACATTCGTCATAGCAGCTTCCCACAGGGAACACACTAGAGAGCAAAAGCAACATGGTTTACTTCTGTGATAACAACGTGTGTAACCATACACACAAACACTCATTGTTTCCAAACGAGACATCGGTGTGTTCGAAACATGTCAAAATACTGCCTTCCAGGAGCGTTAACTTACAGATCATAGTGTTGATTCCACTTCGGGTCCAGCGTATTTCTTACAGTATCTGTAGAGTGACACTGTCCTGAGCCATCCACCACCACTTTGGCAAAGGGATCTGGCAACCCTGCAAAAACGTACAGAGGCAAGCAAAAAGCTTTTTTTACGCAACGATACAAACCTCTTCATGAAGAAACGATGGGACGTGTTCAACTTCCCGTTTTACTGATTCATAGGAGACTCAGTCGACCGTTTGCCTGTATTCAGCTGATCGGTAGTAAAATTGTCACATTTCAGAGGGACAAGGCAAGCAAATAACTCATAATAAAAACATGTAGAGCAGTTATAATCGAGTCTTATAAACCTGTATTGACTGCAACTATTTTTCTTTGTAAGTCTCCAGGTCCGTAGATGGGGTTTTGTTTGTCATCCACTGACATCTCACGATCATGAATGTTGCAGGAGGCTTTTTTTTTTACAGCCATGTTTTGCCTGCAGGATTACAACCAGCCTCAGAGAACTTCAAATTCTCGCCCGCCTCCTTTTAGCTGCCAAGAGAATTCCCTTAAATTATTTATCACGACTATTTATATCCACCATAAAGCAAAGGTGAACAATATCACACAAGTCAACAAAAAAGTTCAGCAGCAGCTAGCAGAACACGTCTCCTGATGCATCTTTCTTTATGATGGGGGATTTTTATTGATGTTCTGCGAATAAGTCCCTTAGTTTTACAAGTTAACCGCCCTACGTGACGTGGCATTGTGCTGGACCTTGTGGGACCATCAGGGGAGCCTGGGATTCTTATTGCAAAGCTCCTTATACTGCGGTAGTAGAGAGTAGTTCCAATTTAGATGCTTTATTATAAGCATAATTTAATACAAAACATGTGCATGTTATATGGATTGCCATTTATAGTTGTATTCTTTTTTAATTAGCTATTAAAGTATTGAAGGCAAAGGCGGTATCTTATGCAGTTCTCTATGAGGCTGTCAAAGAGTATGTGCATACTTTATATGTGGATTTTTACCTCCGTGCACCAATACTTCAGTCAAACCTGTTCAGTCACCCGTATGCTTTTTTTTAGGGACTTTTCTCTTTGTGATCAAAAATAAACTGTCTATTTTCCATAAGCATGACCTCCAGGTTAACAGAGCACCAAACTATGGGCTTCATACACCACCTTGCAATTAAGAGTCTTTATCCTGGCCACAAGTGGTAATTAAATTTAAAAGATGCGAGTCAGAGGTATTCTTTGGTGAGAAATGTCTCATCAGTAGAACTAACTGATATGTCCCTTCATTAAATAACACCGGCAACAGGACGGCTGTCTGTCCTGATCACTTCCACAGGAGGTTGAGGAGACAGCCTGCAGCTAAATGTTAAATAGTAAATCACAAGCCAGAAAGAAAACATACCTATTCCTCCTTCTACAACCTCAAACTATCAGCATTTAAATCTTTGCCATATGACGTTCTTACGGCAAAACCAGGGGATGAAATGTCTTAACTACACAGTCCATTTTGGGTTAATTCTCATCTAATCCCCATTGAGGTTTTTTTTTTCTGTCAAGTTTAATTAAACCCTTTTTTTAATTAAAAATTTTAGTGGACCTACAGCGTCTTGCTAGACGTTTGGCGGGCGGAGGGTCCCTGTGCATCCTAAGCCTCCTGGTGTGTGAAACAGACAGACTGCTCCTGAGGGACTTCTTTTACAGCGCGGCTTCAAAGGCCAGCTAGCTGCCACTGCTGACAAAGTCCATTTCAATGCCCAAGGGAGGGAATGGGACAAGAATAGCAACAAATAAAAATAGCATCTACTTACGGAAGAAGTCTTTTTTTGCCAAGTTCTTTGCACACAGGACTGGAAGGGAAGAAATACAAAGACGTTAGTGTCAGGTTAAAATTTGATGTCTGCAAATTAGATGGAAAAATAGGAGATAAAAAAAGACCCGGGAAAAAAGGTCCATGGAAGGTTTTCGCAAAAATCTTTATATACACACACGGACTTCATATATACTTGCTAGGTCACAACCTGGCTCTTAGGTTATGGCAAATACAGCGCAGACAACACTTACTTAAAGATACGTGTCGTTTGCATTTCAACAAAGGAATAATTACCGGTTGTGGAGTGGGTGGCATCAATAATGTCAGTGTGCATGTGTGTGTGTAAGGAAGTGTAGGTGTTGTCAGCCAAAACAAATGAAGCCCAAACCAAAATAACCAGCAGTAGTCGTGAATCATGCCGGAGAGAAACACCACACCTCGAACCGTGCTGGACCAGGGCTTTTATGCCCCTCCCTGTTCTCGAACCAGGTGCTGTGCTCGGTCGGGACAAAAGCATACTGGCCGTGATCAGTGACCGGGGCTGCCACCTCCCCTCCCGTTAAAAGTCGGTGTCCCAAGGGATCACCGACTCATATTTACAATCAGTCGTGGGACATGGCAACGGACACACTCTGTCCACAATGAGTTGTGCAACTGGTTCCCTCAGAGCCACGATAGGCTGCAATGCTACAGGCTTGATCTTCTGATTAGCCTCTGAATAGCCATTAGCTGCACCATCTATCTCAGACACAGGCAAAACTCGCTCAAATATTCCCCCCAAACAACAACCCCGCCCCCCCGGCAGCTCCTCCACCACCTCTCTGTGCGACCCAGGAAACTCAAGACAGCAATGGGACCTCCTCAACTATCCCAACCGTGTTGTCAGATGCCCTGCCAGGGTTCAATCCGCCCACAGCGCGTGCAAACACGCAGGACGAAACTACCTCCAGCAACACTCCAGAGCCCTCGCCGTACGCAGAACAAACCGGAGAATCTTTAGGAACTGGTGGTGGAGGAGTGACAGTCCAAACTTTGCTACCAGCCAAGTAGTTTTCCCAAAATAAAATGTTTCCCTTTGATAGGAAACTCTGAACGCACCCAAACAGCTATTTCACCCTTAACCAGCTCATAGTCCACCTCTCCCATCTCCCTCCTCCCTCCGCACATCTCCCATCTCCCTCCGCACATCTCCCATCTCCCTTCGCACATCTCCCATCTCCCTCCGCACATCTCCCTCTCAGACAATAATAGAGGAGCACTTTTTCCTTCACGGAGCCACTCCATGGGGGGTTGCATCACAGACAACAGGAGGTCAACAAAGTAAGTTTAAAAAAAAAAAAAAAATTTTAAACTCTTTCTTTGAGTGTTGAGGGGCACATGCTTTGTCTTATCTTGTCTTTGTATTACTTTATAATCATCAAAAGACGAAGTAGGCCCTGGTTAAAAATAGCCATAGCAGAGAGAACCAACACAATCAAGATAATAAAACCGTGAGCACGAAAAGAATCTTCACTTCTCTATAGGAATCAGGAATTCATCCCCCTTTTCTTTATTCACTATTCATGGTAATAGGCAGGAACATCCACAAATGCAGGTAAACCTGAAATTTTCTGTCTAGCCTCAGGTGATATCCATTATTTCTGAAAATCAGAAGGCTACGTCTTGCAAAAGGGTTTTTTGTCCAAAATCTACAACACATGTAAAACCAGTAAAACCTGTAGTGCTACTTAGATGCGGCTGTATTTACAGCGGCCGACATTGCACACACTGAAGCTTAATTTAGGGAATAAGATACATGCACTATAAATACATAATCTTGCTTAAATGTACAGAACTTTGCAGTTTGAATGTTTGACCATTTCAGATGTTGATACGAGCACAGACATTTATTGCATTAACACTGCTGTGCTAGAGACATTATGTGCATTATGGGCATGTGAACCTGCCACGGATAAGAAACAACCACCACTTTCAAAAAAGCTTCGGAATGGCCTCGTAAACCAACCTTGCAATAAACCAGTTCAATGTGGAGACCCTGACTGTGACCAGAATGACACAGCCAAGACAAAATGAGACAGAATCACAACATGGGAACAGACGATCTCAACACAAACCAAATTACACTGACTGGGCCTTCTGGATGAACCATCAACTTGTCAAAGGGAAATTACACTGCCAAAGCCGACAGTATGGGCACAGGCCAAATCAGAGGCCGCCAGAAAAGCCTCCTGATGGACAAAATGGACAGTGGTGACGAGAGACTAGACAAACAGGAGAGACAGAGACCTGAAAGCTTGCCAGAACATTTGTGAACAAAGATTCCAACTAAAAAATATGTTTAAAAAGAATCAGCCTGATCAGTTAAAATGGGTCATCATGTTAGGCCATAACTCTTGCCATAAAGATATGAGCCTATTTTGTTCACTTGTAATCCAGGATAATAGCAGCTTAGTGACAAATGGCACTTTGTGTATTGGTTTGGACATGTTATTTAAAAAGAGGCCCTTGTAAACACACACAAGTTATGTTCACATTTAGTGTCCCAGAAATGTAGTGTGTTTATCCATGAGGTCTAACAAGCGTGTAGAGTGAACTTCCTTTCTCGTAAAACATTTGCAATGTTGCCGAATTTATTCCCGGGCTACTAAACTACTCCATAAAAGTCCTGCACCATGTTGTGTGACATTCAGCGATTTGTAAAGTTTAGAGGAAACAATACTTGCAAGTAGCTAATGGGTGTGTTGAGCAATAATGTCGACCTGGCTCTTAACCTGCACACTGCTCCGGGATCCCAGCCACGATTGCCACAGAGCCCCACAGAGGGGGAAAAAGCCCCACTCGTCATCAATGGCCTTTCACCACTGGCAATGACGAAGACTGAATAATGACAGCTGTGTGGGGGGGGATACAACTATTACTCCAGGTTTCAACAAGGTAGGTGATTGACTCATTGGTAATAAGTGCAGCAACAAGCCATCTCGCATCAAAAAAGTCAGAAGACACATGCGAGTACCATGAATGTACGAAACAGTAAGATGCAGAGGAAAACCTCTGGAGTTGTGTATGCATTAGTGTTCAAGAGTTCAGTGTCTTTAATGCCGCAGAGCTGCATTATCAACTTTCAATCCCGGTGATCCAGAGAAAGCCTCTTCTATAAAAGGCTCCTTGGCTCGTTTCGTTGAACCTCAGGCAATTCAGCAGCACTGGCTCACTATAGAAAAACCATTGCCATCAACAACTACTATAGCAAAGTGTAATCACAGAATGCAAATAAAGTTAAAAGGAAATACATCAAAAGGCAGACTGAGAAATGTCATTTTACAGGAGTCCTACAAAAGGATTTAGACAAATGTGCCTAAATAAGTTAATAATCTGGGCCTTTGCAGACTCTGCAACTGTGGACTCCTGCATCAATAGGGACTCAAATGTCATTCATGCGCCCTGCAAGGATCCAGCAGTTGAATAGCTGCCACGTGAGCAGGCAGGCCACGGTGGCCCGGAGCTGGCAGAGGACCAGACTCATTCAGACCCGAACACGGAAAGCTAGGTCAACTGGGAATCAGCAAAACCATCAGGAAGCCTGGTCCCTGAGAGCATCAAACCCAGCGCTAAACATTCACTTCATCAGTAAGAGAGGAGTCTGTCCTGTGAACAACCACACAGATAAGACGACCGTCATGTTAACGTCACTAAGTACTCCGACAGGCCTACTGTGAGCTAAGACCCCATGCAGACGGACTCTAGTTTGCCTGAACCCGGGTTCATTTTTCACACCTACCCACTTTTTAAATCGCGTGCACATGAACCCAGTGAATCCGATTGACCCCGCTGTAGTCCATCCCCCACGCCTGTTGGTGGCGCTTTAAGGTGCTACAGACAACTGAAGAAAACGAAAGGAGAAGACAGGAGCATGCGTATGAGACATGCGCGCCGTATACAAACGAAAACTCCACAGAAGATGATGACAGGGTTGGATGCATGCAATCACGTGGGGCAATCCGATTAGGTATGCGGATAGCGTGCAGACGAACACCAACAGCAATCGGATTTCGAGTTTACTCACTTTGGACCCCCGATTCGAGGGAGTGCGGATACAGTGTGCGGATACAGTGCGTTCGTCTGCACGACGGGGTTCACCGGGTTCAGGCAAACTAGAGTCCGTCTGCATGGGGTCTAAATCGGTTTAGAGTCATTTCGGACCTATTAATAAGACATCAGAGTCACAATGAATTGTTTTATCCTGGGTTACACTCACATTATGCGTGTAGCTCACAACTGTATAGCAGACTGCAGACGGAGGTTGATCTTCCCCCCAGCAAATGCCACCAAGACATTAATGACAATAGCAATTCATTTAACTTTAATAAAGCCAGATGAACTCTAAAACACATATCTGGTGTTGATGTGATACAACATATATATAATTTTCTTTAAGTTAGTACAGGAGTAATTTTGTATTTCAGAACCCTTGCTTTTCAAAAACGTTAACGTTTGAAGACCCCTACTAAAGGGTTTTTTACAACGGTTAACGTCTCGAATGTTCTGTTTCCTGGGGAAATAGGCAACAGCACCAAAGCTAAAGAGGCGGCAACTTGAATTTGAATTGTTCACTAAATAATGCAGATTCAGTCATTGACCACCCAGAGCTGCACTCCTCTTATAACCAAGCTGTAACAGTCGTTAACGGGTCAAAAAGAGGTCAACTCTGCACCATTGTTCATCCAAAGACTTGAAACAGCTGCTGCTGCTTTGGGACCATTTGTAGGTGAGCCACCCTATTCCACAATGTGAAACAAGCCATGAATCAAACTGTCACACTAAAACACAAGCCCATCCATCTAAGCAAGTAGCGTGCTGTGATAATGCCTTTACCACTGTCTGGTTGCTAGAGGAGATTGATCCAGACAATACATCCTTCTTTGAGGCTTCAGAGGTCAACCATACTTTCCCATCCGTAAGAGAAGCATTTAAGCGCTGAACCAGCCTTTAAAAGACATTGAAAGAAGAGAAAACAATTTGTGACATGCTCTTAAATAT